GCGAAGAAGAGGAGGAATTGTGGGTAGGAAGGAGCTCAGTGAATTCCTTGCGCGATGTAGCCAAGTTTCATTGCGATGTTACGATTGACAAGTCACAAAGAGACTATTTTGGCGAACTGAACAGGGAGCAGATCCTGGGAAAGCTGGAAGAATTGCTGGATTACTGTGCCGCGGACGTCGCCATCACCCATCGCGTATACAAGAAGGTGTTTCCCAACTTCCTTGACGTCTGTCCTCATCCTGTCAGCTTCGGAGCTCTCCGCCATCTTTCCTCTGTCATATTGCCCGTCAACGAAACGTGGAAAGAGTATATTACGAACGCGGAAGCAACATATCATCAACGGGTCGACGATGTGCAACGGAGGCTACTTGAACTATGCAACGAAGCTCTCAAGGTCAAAGAGAACCCGGATGTTTACACGAATGACCCTTGGTTGCGACAGCTGGACTGGACTGGCCAAGAAATCAAAATGGTCAAGGGTAAGAAGAAGGGTGATCCTCCGCGACCCGCGGCCAGACAGAAGAAACCAGGCATGCCACAATGGTACAAAGATCTTTTTCCTTCGACTACAGCGGACATCAACCTGACTGTGCGCACCCGGATTGCCCCTATATTATTGAAGCTGTCATGGGACGGTTACCCTCTGACATGGTCCGATAAATTCGGATGGACATTCAAAGTCCCGAAAGACCAGGTCAAAAAATTCGAAAACCAGCCTGTGGTTCTCTGTGATATGAGTGAAGAGAAGAACCAGGAGTTGCGCGACGATAGGAAACATGTGTACTTCAAACTCCCTCATAAGGATGGCCCACAAGCACGTTGCGTCAACCCATTAGCCAAGGGCTATCTGCAGTTCTTTGAGCGGGGAACGCTTTCATCGCAATACGCCCTCGCCAAAGAAGCTCTGGAAATGAATGCCTCCTGCTCATACTGGATCAGCGCCCGTGACAGAATCATGAGTCAGATGGTAGTCTACGAAGATCAAGTCAAGCAGTCCGGGTCTACAGGTGAAAAGTCGAACCGATTAGGATTTATTCTCCCTCAAATCATACCTATGGGCACGATCACCCGGCGAGCCGTAGAGAATACGTGGCTAACAGCTAGCAACGCCAAGGCAAACCGCGTGGGTTCCGAACTCAAAGCCATGATCAAAGCTCCGCCAGGCTATGTCTTCGTTGGTGCAGATGTTGACTCCCAGGAATTGTGGATTGCCAGTCTTGTCGGGGACGCCCAATTCCAACTACATGGGGGCAATGCCATTGGATTCATGACGTTAGAAGGTTCCAAGGCTGCTGGGACTGATATGCATTCGCGCACTGCCCATATCTTGGGTATTTCGCGTAATGACGCCAAGGTTTTCAACTATGGGCGCATTTACGGTGCTGGGGTCAAGTTCGCTGCCACACTGCTTCGCCAGTTCAATCCATCCATGTCCGAGAAGGAGACCCAAGAAGTTGCAACCAAGCTCTACAGAGAAACCAAGGGCACCCGCACAACTCGTCGTATTCTGAGTGAGAACCCTTTCTGGCGCGGAGGCACTGAATCCTTTGTCTTCAACAAATTGGAGGAATTCGCCGACCAAGAAAGACCGCGTACTCCTGCGCTCGGCGCCGGAATTACTGAGGCACTCATGCGGCGCTTCATCAACAAGGGCAGTTTCATGACTTCCCGGATTAATTGGGCCATCCAGTCATCTGGAGTTGATTATCTCCACCTTTTGATAATATCCATGGATTATCTTATCCGGCGATTTAACATTGATGCTCGACTCGCGATCACGGTCCACGACGAAATACGGTACCTTGTTAAGGAAGAGGACAAGTATCGAGCTGCCATGGCCCTACAGGTCGCCAATGTTTGGACCCGCGCCATGTTTTCGCAACAAGTTGGGATCGACGATCTTCCCCAGTCTTGTGCCTACTTTTCGGCCGTCGATATCGATCACGTTCTGCGTAAAGAGGTGGACATGGACTGCGTGACTCCTTCTCATCCACACAAGATTCCGCACGGAGAAAGCTTGGACATTAGTCGACTATTGGAAAAGGACCAAGAAGCATATTTGGATCCTTCAGTAGTCCCGGTTTCGCCTCCTACACCTCAGAAGTACACCTACACACCACGAGAGTCTGTGATGGCGGCACTTCAGGCCACCAATAATCCTGCTTTCATCAAAGCTCAGATTACCAAAGATGACAAAGAGCTCCGAGAAATCATCAAGGAGGTGACAAAGACCAAGGCTGCCACCTCTTCAACTGCACGCTCTGTTCGAAACGGTCCCAAATCGACCAACTTCCCATCGGCGGAGCCTCAAAAAGCGGTCTTGATGGACATTGATTCTGGACTGTACCGCGACTTCCGGTATCTACCACCGGGGAGCAGGCATCCCCATTTCAACATCAACCGTCAGACATGGAAAGCCAGACCGGCCGCTCGGCCTTAGTCTGAGAATCTATCCTCCTCTTTCCTTTCATTCCCTACGACCTTGTATCCTTTCCATGCATTAATCATGTAGCTTCTCTTTTATGTTATCATCTGACGAACGTTCTGTAAAAGCATTGGTATGGCGTTGCAGTGGCTGGTCGAGATGGTACGTTTGGGCTCGCTGTATTCTACCGAGGGGTACTGGGCGGTTATTTGTGTGATATATATTGATCTGTAAATACTCCTCTTTGATGATACTAATCTGAATGATATTGAAACAGCAAAGTTGAACCAGATCATTATATTGTATTGATTTCTATCTATTACTTTTCCTCTGCCCTTCTCCTCCCAGGATCTAATGTATTTCTTCTACTCAACCCATCCCCGCGAAGCATCGCATCCCCTTTACGACCCAGGACTACCTCCAACGCCTGCACAAGGGCAGTAGGGTCATACTTCATCCCCAAAGCAACCTCCTCAACGTCCGGCCCCGGCGCCGTAATCTTTCGCCCATATAAACGGAGCGTCTCGATACCCATCTCCGCCAGGCGCTCGCGGTCAACCTGCGGCGTTCCCGGCCCATCTAGATGCAGAAGATGCGTGACGTAGGAGGAATACGGCGGCGAAGGCAAGTGAACAGGCCGGCCACGGCTTTCTTCGCCAGCACGGGTGATTGCCTCGACGAAATCGACCGCCGTGAAGGGCTGCGAGGGCGGGCCGGTTTCCCTGTCTAATGAGCCATTGAGAATAAGTATTTTGTGGCGGGCCGGGCTGGTAGCTATGGCTTGGCCGACGCCGCGGAGGATGAGGGAGGGGACGAGGGAAGTGTAGAGGGAGCCGATGCTGTAGATGATGGCCTGGGCGTTGCGGAGGGATTCGAGGACGCGCGGGTTGGCCGGGGGCCGGATTTCCTGGCCGTAGGGGTTTATGTACCAGATGCGGGTGATGCGGGCGGGGAGGTCCTCGTTGGCTGATTTGCTGAACTGGATGTTTTTGTTGCGGAGGGTGGGGAGCGAGCCGGGGAGGTGGTCGTCTTCGTAGGAGACGGCGTCCGAGGCGTCGGAGGGTTCTGTGTCCTCGAGATCGGAGGCGCCGTCGGCGAGGAGGAGGCTGGGTCGTCTGGAGCCTGGACGGGGCTGGAGAGCGGTTGCCTCGCTTGGGTGGGAGATGCTGTTCTGGCCGACGATGATGGTGCCGTCGGCGAGGGAGGCGGAGATGTGGTGAGAGAAGTTGGAGTTGATGGCAGGGATGACGCGGACTAGGTCGGACTGGACGCCGCAGATGCTTCCTAGGAGGTAGATGGCGCTCTCGAAGCTGCCGCTGAAGAGGCGCGCGCCGGTGAGGAAGAGATTGCCCACGCTGGCCGAGGTGAAGTCAAAGGTCGACGAGGGCGGTCGTGCCCGCTTGAGGATCTCCAGGTTCAGCAAGTTGAAGAACGAGCGTATCAGCTCTTTCTTGGCGGGCGTGATGGTTTTCCAGAGCTCGGAAGTACCATCTACGATTGACTGCCATGCTCCGTGGGCCGCGACAGCGTCCGAAGGGAGCCGGTGGTTGAACAGGGTCTTGATCGCTGCCCGTTCTGAGTTTGGAGGCGAGTCAGGGATCAGACGGACCAGTCTACCTGTATGCACTGTTAGTAACGGACTGGTGATTGCCATAAAGCTAGCTATCTTTCTTGAGGATATTTTGAGTCTTACTTCTCACATCACCGATGCCAGGACCACCAAATATTCGGATCAGCTCAGAGGAAGAACCTCCATTGTCGCTGATCGGGATGATGTAGCTTAACAAGCAATCCTTACTCTCACGTATCCTGCTGAAGACATCGACGAGATTGTTGGCAGCGCTTCCTCCCGAGAAGACCACGATGCCCCTGTTGGGGGATACGGTCGACATGTTGACTTGTGGCTATGTCGAAAAGCACCGCTGAAGAACGCAGGCCATAGAAATACTAGAGTTAAATGAGCTCTCAGCAGGTTGAGGCCATGAGGACGCGGTGATAAGTCTTTGCGAATGTATAGTTAGGAGTCGTGCTATTTTTAATCTCGGACAAAGATCGCGATGCCACTTGCCGTATTGGGTAAAAGAGGCAGCAGGTGCGTGGTTTTACCGCTTTGGGGAAGATTAAAGCCAAGCCTTTTTGACAGTTTCTAATGCAGTCTAACAGGGATATACCTTCGAAGGCATAAAATACGGATGAACACGCTGTCTTGAAGGAAGACTGAACTCCAATTATTGAAAGTTTCTGACTGGCGGAAGTGGGAAGAGATGGCCACTTTGGTCGCAAAAGTGTGGCTCAATGCGGCATCTCACGGTCAGTTAGGTACATTCAGAGTCCACGACCAGACATTGCCAAAGACTCAATCTTTTGGTGATAATCTTATATTTTTTTTAACTATGTACACAATCTTCCTCGCCTGTTTCAAGGAATCCTGGGAAGCGTTGTAGTTATTTACTGCCAATTCATCAAGCATGATGATGGAATGGCGACACAGAAAGGCTTCCAAGAAGACAAGGGGCTTGGCGGATATAAAATATTGAACTGGAAGAATTTGCTTTGCTACACATTTCTGAGTGCCTATGCATATGCGGCCCAGCCTAGAAATAATGTTAGCCTTCAACATGGTCGGGGAGAGAAATTCCAATGACATACCGCAATAGAGAACAGCAAGGTTCCTTTCATCAGTTGCCTGCTGAATCAGTTCATTGACAGTCGCTGTGACACTGAGAGTCTTGCTCAGTTTCTTTGCCACAACCGTCAGAGCGCGATCCGCTTCACTAGGTTCATTCGCTGACCGTTGATCTTCAGCAGCACCTGATATCATGGGGGGACCATCACCGGCTTCTTGAGCATCTTGCATCCGCTTCATGCGCAGCGGAGAGAGAGTCCAGCTGTACAGAGGATCATACCGAAGCACATCCAGGATCGTCATGATACTGTACGATTCCTGTCGAAGTGCCTCGAGGGTGAATTCGCAGCATCGCCGGAAGACACCTTCTGTCTTGGTGATGCCCATACCGTCGACCAGATCGCGCGTCAGTCGGAAGGGAACCACCTCAGGGACCGGTAGGACTCGGCCTTGCTCGAAAGCCACACCCAAATCGATATGAACGACCTCTCCGGTTCTCTCGTCCAGCAAAATATTATGCCCATGCCGATCACCAAGCCCCAGGACATGCCCCAGAATGGAAATCGCCGCAGTGCTCCGAGTATATGAAAGCCTCTTGCTGAACCAATCGTCCGGGCTGTTGAACTTCTCCATGAAGAAGTACCGCATGACAGGATGGAAATGTTCCGTAATCTGGCGGAATGTTTTGACTCGCTGCTCGAAAGAGCGCGTCTGTACGTCGCTGATATGCTTTCGGCACACATTGGGCTTCATGTCCTTGGGGAAATATCGCTGATGCGCCGGCATCAAGTAGTCATGCAGAGGGATGGTGTGCGGCACAAACTCAATGATTCCCGCATTCGAAGTCAGTGGGAGGACCTTGTATGTTCGAATTCCTAGCTTCCGTTGCTGCGTCGCCTGATGGTCCTTGAGAAGACTGCTCACTTGCTCGAATACTTGTTCCATGATTGCGTCCTGCCGTAGGTCGTCGTTGCCTCCTTTGAACTGTGATATGATCGTCAGTTTGCGATTCAATGTAAGACAACGGAATGCAAGCCTTACTAGTTGCTTATACTTTTGGCCATCCGTTGCTACGGCGGTGACAATCTTCGGTGCGCTCACCCCAGATGCAACCGTGAATTCAGGATGATATCGAACAAGCTTAGGAACATCACTGTAGTCGCAATCAACACGGATGGCAATTTTCATCGTAGGTGGCGGCAGCTTTTGTGTCGAAGCGTCTTGTTCTAGTCGCTGGCCCGTCAGGAGTTTCTTCAATGGCACCTTCGCACCACTCTTGACCTTCTCGTCCAGTCGATCGACCGCGAACCGCACGTAACTGATATTCGCGTTGTGCACTGCAACCCATGTCGGTCCAATCCGTTTGTCATTTTTCAGGTAATCTACCAGCCTGCTTGCCGCTCGATTACGAGACAAAGCTGACGGGTCCTTTCCACCCTTGGACTTGCTGCTGGCGAAAATTTGGTACATGCCATGGAAGGGATGCTCGACGCAAATGCGGAAAATCAATGCAAAGAGCATATTCTGAAACTCGTCAGAGGTGTCTTGGAGACGGGAAGTAAGTTGGTTCATCAGTGGCGCGAATTTGCGACTCGGGACCTGGTTGAGATATTTGGAGACAGCTTTGTTTGCAATCTCACTGTCGGATTTGCCAAGCCATAAGGCACAGAAGCGGAGCGCATCGTTGTTATAAATGTCGCTTTCTTTGAGGCAAAGTAAATAGTTTTCAAGGCATTGTTGCAAGAAGGCCTCTCGACTGCGTCGCAGACGTTGATATTCTCGATCGTCCAGGTCAAACCACTGCTTTGTCTTGGTTCGGTAGTGCCTCAGAGCCTCTCTTTCTTTGCCCTCTGCATTCTTCATCATCTCTTCGAGACCCAGTACTTCCTTTTCCTTGCGGTTACGTAGTTGCTCGACTCGTCTAAAGTCCTCCAGTCCGTCGGGATTCTGTAGTTGCTGATCACAGAAGATGGCGAAGCCGTGATATACTCTACCGGCCTCTTCAGCTTCCGACCGGTTCTTAAGTTCCTTCACTGCAGGGGCAAGGTACCCCTGAATGATAGCTTCTGGCTTCTCCAAGCGTGCTTCCGCCACATGATGGCCCTGCAAATGATTAGAAACAAGACCACGATCGAGCAAAGAAGTGTCCACTCACGAGGGTCACAAGAAGCTCCGGGCGGCTGATTGGAATTGCCTGCTTGTGCAGATCACCTTGATTGTCAAGCTGTTGAAGCATTCGAATCGACGCTGCCATCTCCCCTTGGTCCCATAGGACGTTGGCCAAATCGAATTTTGTTGCTCCTTCAACATTGATTCCCTGCACCACACACACGTTTGCAAGCTTAGACAAGCGCACTGCAGACTTCAATGAAGCCTGTGGTATACCATGACTTCTCGTGATGGAAAGTGACTGGCGAATAACCTTGACTTCCAGTAGCTGTGCATCTCGGTCGCTTAGTCCTACGGCGGATTTGAGATAATCCCTTGTCTTGATAGAGGAGAACAAAGCCTCATGGCATTTTAAGATCTCTCCAACCTCATCAACACTACAAAAGTTAGCCTTCATGTCGGACCCATTTCAGATGACGTCGGATTTACCTTGTTGCTTTCAACCAAGAGTTTCGTTCTGCGATCTTCCGCCATTCTTCATTTAACTCTTCGAGAGACATCGCGCTCAAGACATCGCTTATCTCGGTCACAATTCCCAGGTCTCTCATCGCTGCCCGGAAGGACATAGCAGAGCGACTCGTGCTTCCTAGTGAGCCCAATATGGCCAGAAGGTTTTCGTTGACGGAATTCGAAGCATCAACCAGAGATCTCGAAGTGTTCAGGCTTTGAAAGGTTCTAAAGAGTGCAGCTGACGGAGAGTGATTCAAAGGCGAAACTGGTAAATCCCATTGTCGCAGATCTATCGCAGCTTGCATCATGCTATCAAATGAGACAGAGCTTTTTGAGCCTTTGAGAGTCGAGGTCAATGAGTTTGCAATTCCTTGCAGGTTAGTTGAGTTGAGTGCCTTTAATAGACCATGAGCGTCGGCGTCTCCCGACATCTGAATCTCGCAATCATACTGGGCACTCTGGAAAAGGAGATTCTTGAACCCGGAGCTCTCATGTTCCAAGGTCTCCATCACGGACTCTAGTGACGAGCTTTGCTGGACGCCGTAAAAAAGATCCGGATCGTCCACGTTTCTAAAAATGTCATGAAGGAGGTCAGGAGGAGGTTCATACTTCACGAGAGAGGAGCGGCGAGTTCCAGACACGGCCCGCGAGGCCTGGATCTCGAGAAACAGCAGTGCTGTCTTGGGTAAGCGGCATGTGTTTGCAGCCTTAGATGCCACTGCAAAATCAATTTCAAGCCACTCATCACGTTCTACTATCGTTGCTTCTTGAGGACGCGGTTGATTCCGAAGATACAGAAGGCAGTTGATGATGAGACGGACATGAGGGATGGAATGGTCATCAGCTTCGTGTAGACCTTGCCTGAAGATATCAGAAATGGTTTGCCTAACATTGCCCACGCCGTCAGGCTCCGTGAGCAAAACGTCATGCAGAATGTATGGCAAAATCCGGACTGCCAATGAAGGTATGACGTGAAGAATGTTTCTCAGCGGCCCAATAACAGGATCTTGGGGAGCAGCCTTTGTCAAGAAAAGTCCAATGCTGCGAGCCCAGTGAGCAGCGGAGATACCAGGGTTCCATCCAACAATAGTATCGTGATTCTTGGCCTGAGAAGCGGGCAAGGGTATTGATGGACACTGATATGGACTCCAAACCAGTGCCTTCAGAAGGGAAGGAGATATGATCTCTTCATAATTTTCAAATCCCGGGGAACCGGCAAGATTGCTGACAATGAGCTGCAAGGTCCGTTCAACAAGCCCGACTTCCAGAGGACTGCTATTCTGCAACATACTGCAAAGCACCTGTAATATCCTGGCTTTTGACTGGCAGAACATGTGGAGGTTTAACTTAGCCATTCGAGGTTCGAATAGGGTCGACTGCTGTTCCCTCAACAGATCATCACTGATCATGCCAGTAGCAGCAAAATTGCGTCCAATTACCCGGGCAGCCCACAGCCGGTACTCTTTTGTAGGGCTGAAGTCTTGGAGAGTCTGATATAAAGCAACACTATTTGCAATAGCGTCATACCCTCTTTCGACAAGGCCCTGATGGTAGTTGGGAGCGCTCTTGAAGCTTGCACAAAGCAAAGACAGGATGTGATCAGATATTGACTGACTCAGCAACCTCGTTTTAGAATTGCGGTCCTGTATCACTTCGAGAAGCAAATTACACTCCGTGCCATCCGACTCTTTGCCTGGGGCAGAGATCCTGCGCGAAGACTCCATCAGACGCTGAAAGAAGGCATGCGCCTCTGCGCTTAGGTGAGGTGACTCGTAAAACTTCAAGAAGTCTTCGAACCATTGAAGAAAGGTCTGAACGATTGTCAGAACTGCAACAGATTGGCTTTCCTGCACGGTGGCCGTTGTAGAGGCCATGAACTTTCGAAAAGAGAGCAAGGTGGACACTGCGATGCCAGCCGTGAAACTAGGATTTTCAGTCAAGTAAGACCTCCCAGCGTCCAAGAGATACCAGAACATTCCCAGTGCGTCCTCGGAGCAATGTATATCTGTGAGGAACGGTCGAAGAGCGTGTAGGAGCATTTCGAAGGGATAATCTCTCAGCATAACAGGGCCGGTTATACAGATCAAAATCCTGATCTTGCGAATGACAGAGCAGGCATGAAGAGAGCCAAGCGCGGGGTGAATTGATTCCAGAAGTGTCCGGCAGACATAAGATGCCAGTGTAGGTGTCCAGATCGTTTCGAGCTCATAACCGCTTCTTTTACAGAGAAATTCAAGCTCATCTAGAAGGTAGCGCGCCCTGAATGAAGGTTGCTGACTGGGGGGAAGTACTTCCTTTGAGGCGCCCTTAGCAGTGATTGATTTCAAAATACTGAAAGCTTCTTGAAAATTGGCCCTCTTGGAGAACGCTCTCTCAATCTGCTCACACTGATCTAGGGCTCCAAAGAACGTTGCAATTACTTGCGGAAATTGCTTCTCAACCAGACTCACGAAACGGTCAGCGCCCAAGATCTTCTTCAATCGATTTTCAACCCCTTTCGGTTGAGAACTCTGTCCAGGAGGAGTGCTGATGTCTCGCGCAATACTATACGCCTCTGCCTTATAGAAAGATGTTGCCAGGAGCTCTATGAAAGGCGTTTCCAGACGGGTTGAGAGCTCGCTTGCCTCGTGCTCATTGGCCCGCATCATGATTTGACCTACAATCTCATCTTGGACATCGCTCAGCATATCCTCAAGGGTGGAATAACCAAATATAGTGAAGGGCATTGTCATAACTGATTCATTTTCAGTCCAGGTGTAGAGAATCTGGGAGGAGAAGAGGCGGAATAATTGTCGTGCGTCTTCGAGTCCAAGGACACTTGCAACGTGTCGTATGCATTTTTCAGCGTGCCACCGAGAGTGAGGAAGCTGGGCCGGTGTCTCGAACATATGATAGATGCTCCTCCGAAGTAAAGTGTGCCACTGTGAAGCCAACCTTGCCAATATGAACAAACGGAGCGCAATACCCTCAGTCCAGTCAGGATCGCGGGGAAGGCTTTCCAAAATATCATCAAAGATCGCATCGTGATCTTTCAGTGGGAAGTGTCTAAACAATTTGGGAACGAGGTTGCCCACGTTGTACTTAGTTAGGATATCACTTTCCTGAAGGATCATGAAAAGAGTTGTTCTGGGCGAGGGGTTGGATTCACCGCTTGTGTACACGGGGTTGGTACTGAATATTTCATCAAGAAGACTGGAAAAGGCCATCAATACTCGGGAAGAAGCCCTACCCTTTGCCAATAAGACATCGGTAACCCAATTGTAGATATCTGAAGCCGAGTCACTGAGATGATCTCCAGCTCCTGTCGTCCATGATTTGACGAAACTATCCATCATGTGAATGCACAGAATCTGAGAGGTTTCGCAACGTTCCAGTTGGTAGGTTTGCAGACATTTCTCGCCCATGTCCTCCAACAAATCTAATAGGGAGGTGCGTTCATATCCTGCACATGCCCGATAAACATCGGGCAGGAAGTCTCTTGCAGACAATACATCAGCTTCATCCAAATCCGTCAAGTACTCAACCAGAGCACTACTGGCTGGCTGTTCCGGCTGCACGACAGAGCCATATGCTATCTTGAAGATTGAGAGCCGGATAGTCATTGAGCGTTGGAAAGTGGCAGAATCATGAAATAAAGGGACAGATTCTCGGTTCGAGTTAATGATACACATGTTCTCCGCCAGTAGATCGTTGGACTGCAGTAGCTGGTCGTCCAAATCCATTGGCTCTTCCTCATCAGACGATAGCAACCGCTTCTGGTCTTGTCGATGATTCTCCAAGATTTCACTTAAGGGAGAAACAAGTCTGTACAGGGTGCTATTAACAACCGATTTCTCGAAGCCAACCCTCCTTCCTTGGGACAGAAAGGGACACAGAAGCTCCAGGCAATATTGCACAAACACAAGCTCACGAGACGCCATAAATGAACAAAGGCTGTCCCAGAGTTGCTGGATATTGCCCCGCAAGTCCTTTATCTGAGTGTGCGATTGTTCAAGTATGCATTCCGTGTACAATATAGCGACTATGCAGAATGAAGCGAGTATCTGAACGACATCGACAGTCACATGGTGTGATTTACTGTCAGATAACGATCGCCATGCTTGCAAGAACATTTCGGATTTCGCTTGCAACAGATCGAGTACTATATCGTCGTTAGGGTCTTTCCGAGTCGCGAGTTGCAGAGATATGCAATCATCTCCGCCATGCATGCTTGCGGAGCCCAGCATCCCATCCACATGGAAGAGGTAGTTGAGAAGCTCTCGGTTACTTTGGTAAAAGTGCCAGCCTTTTGCAACAAGCCCAGACGGTCCTCGAAATTGTGGGGTGGGCACCTCGAACTGTCTATTGGTACAAGCAAGAAATAGATTGAGAAGATCTAGAGGGCGTGCAAAAGCAGCGACCTGCGCTGTTTGCATTCGATCGGTTACTGTGCCTGACACAATGTTAGCGGTCAAGCATCTGCGTAAAAAGGATATGGCGAAGACGTACCTATCACCCAAGCTTCTCGTAGCCATGAGCAGATCTGTTTCGAGGCGTTCGATACTGAGCCTGGGTTCGTCTGTGCGCCCAACCTTGTTATGATCGCCCACAGCTCCAAGGATGAATCTGAGATGCTAGATGGCGCATTCAAATTCATAGTTGTAAGCATTGAACTAGTCGTACCTGCGACTACGGAATAATCCAGAAGACCGAATTTTAAAATGCTACTCATAAGATGGCAGGCGGCTCTGGAGGTGTGCTGCGAGATAGAGGCGCGAGACGTAAGATCCCATGCCTGTTGCCAATACTTCTTCAGAGACGAAGAGCCTGCATCTGCACTGCTGGCGATGCTGCCGTGACAATTCTTTAGCTATGCGATCAATACCTGGTCCTGTACAGGCTCACCTTGAAATGGCAACCATTGTCCACGAAGCTATGACGCCGTTGTCATCGAGTATGTAGGGGATCAATCGCTGAAGTAGTGAGGCTTTCGACTCCATACTGAGGTGGCTCTGGAGGAGCATGGGGATCAACTGCAGGGCACATACCCTCCTGTTGCCCGACGACATAACAGAGTCTCGATAAACTTCGTCCGACGCCGAGTTCAATCGTTGCTTCTTGCTTGGTATTTCGCCTGCTGGATGCGATAACCGCGCGGTCGATTCCTCTGACAATCGCATCAATTTTGCCATGACCCATACGACGGTCAAGTTGTGCTCGGACCTGGGCACTTCAAGTCGAGGTTGCAGTGCGAGATCAATGATTTGCGTGGAGCTCGCTCGATCGAAAATTAACTCGTCAATCTGCAGAATGTCCTTCTCAGAACGTTTCGTATATTCCGAGTACAGTGTGTCCAAAAGGTTCTCGATTGAAAGAGCTAGGGACTCTGTTGGTTCCCTGCGAGTTGCATCGGTCAAGATGATCATGCAAAGCATAATAGTGACGAGGAGTTCATCCTTCAGGCCCATAAGCTTGGTAGACCACAGGTGTCGAATTACTGCAATTAGATCCAAGAGGAACATGCGAACGAGATCTGACTGGTCAAAAATAACTCTCATGACAACTGTATTTATGCTATTGAACGCGGCCTGATGTTCACTTCCAGCGATCGGCGAAAGCTTCAAAAAGATCCCAAGCCCGCGAAGGAGCTTCTCAGCGGCTGATTGCACGGGGGCAGTCGGAGTCGCTGTAAGTAGCTGGATACATACTATTGCTTCCGCGACGATTCTCTTGTCGCCATTCTGCTTCTCCCGCAAAGCCAGACTCGAGGTTCTTTTTGATGGTGTTGAGCGTGAGCTTGCACCCAGAAAGTCATCCAAAGTAGACGGATGACCATTGTGGTCGCTCGATTGGCTATCCCCATCTTCTGGAGCACCGATACTTCTTAGACAGAGGTTCAGAACCTTGTCCCATTCCTTGGCGGCCAAATGCTCGAGGTGGGGAGGGTAGCGCAACAGTGTGGTGAGGCATTTCAGATAATCCGCACCGAGATGCTCCCACAGACCCTCTCCAGGAACTTGTAGGATCTCTGTTATGTGGTCGACTATAGCCCGGATCGACTTTGTTCTCAGGTTACGCAGAAAGACATCGATAGCTATTCGAATGACGGATGCACAAGCGGACAGCCGCGAGGCGGATGCTCCCTTGGAACTCGCCTTGTTATACAAGGATCTTTCGACGGAGATGAATCGGAAAAGGGACTCGAAGATTTTATGGCAAGCTTTATCATTGAGTGAGGTTCTGATGAGATACACACATGTTAATCTATGTATAACACGCATTCCATAAATTGACTGGGATCATACATACAAGTTTGAGCTCCGTTTATTCTGCTGGAGAATATGTTTCAAATCTGGGAGGATCAGCAAAGTTACCATGAAACGGCTCAGCTGTAGACAAACCTGCAAGGCTGTCAGATCGTTCTTTCAGTCTCTCGGAGGACAAAAGCGCAATGGCCTTGTCAAGAGTGACCTGCGCCATCATGATGGCGCGGCTATCCGTATTTCGCACACAATCAGCATCTAGAGAGTGGTGTTAAACCACCTGCCGGGGCCAATTTTCTCTTGATCATGACTTTTTGATGAGAGAGATTCTGACGACCGATGTGAACCGACGTCAGCGTCAGCAAGGACCAAAAATCACCGATTATTATTGTTTTGGGTCTGAGGGTTGTAGATCTAGTCTAGCTCTGGTTTGGCTTGTTATTTTAGTCTGGGCGCAAAAGTGAGCTCCGCCTTTTCTAGGTCGGAATTTTGACCGCGTCCTCCGCCCAGACAAACAGAAGCCTCACTATAGCTTCCTCCTTCATCCACCTCGCCCATTCTCGCATACAGACTCTGAGATGGAAGACGGAGATACCCTGGCTGGCCTTCGGGGCCTGTATCAGGATCTTTCTGCTCTTTCAGACTCGTCATTTGTCAACATTGAACGGCTTCGTGTTGAGTTGGAAGCTCACATTGAGGATTTCAAGAAACTCTTAGACAAACCCTCAAAGAACAACACAAGTCGGCAGGCTGTTCTCTCAGGTCGGTAAATTGAGGATGACTCCTTGCAGTCCCAATTAAGACTGAACTCGGATGTTGAAGGGGGCAAAGCTGACTTTGCTCAATTGCGCTACAGGGAAGATTACCGTTGACGATGTCGAATATTCAATCAACCAAGACTTTCAACAAGGCGCACTACAACTTGCGGATGCTCTCAACATTGATGAACTGGAGGCAGCTGTTTTATTCTTTGCGGCGCAGGAAGAAGCTCAAATACTGGATAGACCTCCGCTGATCGCGGCAATTATGCGCTTTCATGAGCGGCGGCACTTCCTTCTTGAATGCTTACGTCTGATTCTTCAAGAATCGTTTGAGGTTGAGCGGGAAGTGACGCAAGCTCTCATGCAAGACATGGTGGCATTCGTCGTGGAGATCAAAACTGGACCCCTACGGAATGCATCGCTTTTTGCGCGGAAGTGCATGAAGTCTATGGAGGATATCGAGGGATGGCTGCTGCTCCTTGGGGAGCAGATTCAAAAGGCATCCATTGTCGGCCAGGTGGAGGATCGCGATGTTATGGAAGCCATTGAATACCAACGCAGCAGCCTGCAGCAACAACACGAGTCATTAGGCGCAATTCTATGCTATTTCTTCAAAGGACCTTATACCAGTCCTGAGGACCTTCGGGTGCTCCTGAATCGCTTAAGGAAGCTTGAAAGATTTGATGGACTGCTGCTTCACTACATCCCTGCTATGATATCGTCGTTTGTTCAGCACGGCTCACCAGAACGTTCGAATTCATACAAAGAGGCTAGGAGCCTGCACATGGCGGTCACTTCTACCAAAGATGGCCAAACTTGGACGATCCCGACGTTTCACGCAGCTGTCATCGCGCTTTGGCTTGCAGTTTACAGTGGCTGGGATATCGATGGGCCGACCTCTCCTGTCCAAGGGGTCGACTTCGAAAAAGAAGCAGAGGAGCGCACTCAAATGTTCATGACGGCACTGGACGATGGAGGACTCGATTTCTTACTTGCTATTTGCTCAGGTGTGAACAACGAAGAATGGGGTGATCCGGCTCGCCGCGAATTAGTGGCGCTACTGTTGAAAGAGAGCGCATTCGCGAAATTGGAATCCGAACCCTGTGCTGGATTTCTAAAGACACTACTGATGGAGAATCTGGAGGTCTTTGTGGAGTCTTGCATTGCCAACATGCCAGATGCAGTTCGAAAGCTGAAATCCGAGGAGGATATGCAACGCTTGGATCAGATTACTGCCCTGAGGGATGGTTTGTCGTCCAGCCTCCATCGTGGCCTGGTCGAAGCTCGCACTCATCTCGAGTCTTTCCTCATGATCATAGCATTCGCCTTCGAAAGCCGGCCAGACGCAGCTCAGGAGTTCTGGGCAGACCCGGACGGCAATTTGTATGGCTTCCTTCAGTGGGCTTCCAAGAGACAAACCGTTCCAAGAGTGAGCGCCTTTTGCGAGTTGCTGTGTTCTATTTCTGGTGGAGAGGAGAATGCCGCTGCTGCACATCGGTTTCTAACCGAGGAGGACAAATTTTTGTCGTCCAAGTTCAAGCGATCCACTTCCATGAATTGGTCCCAGATGTTTGCTGAACTCCAATTGTACGCGACGAGAGTTACTGAGAAGCCTAGTGCTTCCCAAGCAGTCCTGAGGGCTCGAAAATCTGAACCAGCAGACATGAGCGAGCCAGAAAGCCCTGTCATGCTGACGTGCTATCTGCGACTAATGGGTCATTTATGCAAGCAGAGCGGCTCCATAAGGGAGTGGATGCTTCAGCACCCATCTTTCAGCATTGTTAGCACCTTGTTGACCTTGTGCAGCGGCCCCATACCCACCCACCTGAGGGCCACTGTTTTCACTACTCTTGCAGCTTTAATGACGGATAGAACGTCCCACAATGGCAACGAGATGTGGCTCTCTCTCGATCAATGGATTTCCGGGGGCGCCATGAGTGGCCCCGGCCTTGGTAAAGTACCCATAGTCTCAAATCCATTGGTATGGCACGAGCAGCAGGCTTTCCAGAAGATCGGCGAGAGTTTTGATCAGGCCAATGCCTTTGTGGTCTTAATTTGCTCGCTTATTTCCCCTACCTCTGACTCGGCAGAGTACCATCTGTCCCTGCCCTTCCCCGAATCTCTAGGATCCTCCTATCGCATGCCAGGTATCGAGCCGTACATCGATTTTGTCATGGGTCAGGCCCTCTCGAGGAAAGTTCCAGATCTAGGCGAGCGCCAAACTCGCCTTCTGACCTACAACTGCTTGAATTTCGTCATCACGTGCCTGAGATCGTTCAACGAGAATATCGTAACTGTTCTCAGCCAACCCGCAGTCAGCTCCGATTCTACCCTAAAAACATCATCCTTGACTACCTATATCCGTCTTCACCCGTTTGCGCGTGTGGCTGAGTGGCTATTTAATGAAGACGTTATCAAGGCGATCTTCGCAACAGCTCAACAAGACGCCAGCGAGGTTGCCAACGCCGCGTCTGACTCTATAATTGTTCAGTGCCTGGTCAAAAGCCTCGAAGTCATGGACCTGATATTGGATCTGCAATCGACCTACTTCCATATCGTCCGGCCGTCCATCAAGTCTCAGGCAGGTGGAAGCAGAATTAACGTCGCTAATTCGTCGCTTTCATCCTTCGAGGATAGCGTCCTCAACAACTTAACGATCATACCTGCTCTGAGCCTTTATTGCGGCGCGGGTCACGAGCAACTCACCGTTACCTCAATGGCACTTCTGGAGAAAATGTCAAGCTCTGGGAAGTTGAACAAGTTGTCCTCACCAGAAATATCGAAGTGGCAATCCTCAAACAAAATAGTCGAAGTTCTGAGCACAGAAGTGGACGTTGACAGTGTTTCACGACCGCTGGTGTCTCAGATGCAACCTGAATTGAGGGAGTTGGAACTTGGTGCACGGTCCCCAGGCTATATTATTAGGGAAAGCCTTTTGGCACTCCTAAATAGCTGTCTCAGCATGATCACGGATCGGCCGACCATTGCTCATCTTCTCCTCGGGTTCAGTAGCGTGGGAACCATGCTGGATATTTCTCCGAACGGTCTGTTCTCGAACCGAATGTCCTTGCTACATGCTATCATTGGGTTCTTGCAAAGCTACCCCGATGCGATGGAAGGGAACATTCTTCCTTGGATGGTACATCTACGGCGTATGGCCTTTGAAGTTCTCAAACATCTATGGTCCTCCAAGATCGCGTCCGCGTTCACTCTGTTTGAGATGCGTTCCAGCCGCTTTCTACTAAGCATGTTTGCCAGCCAGCCTATAATCGGACCAGACACTCCTTTTGATGGGTTATCTGTCATGGACGAAGAATTCTGGATCTCTGAGTCCACATCAGCTCTTGCTGAGTTCTTACTTTTTAGAAGTTACTTGTATGCCTACGCGGCGACCGAAATCCGCTCGGCCGCCAAGCTTGGCTCGCAGACACTTCAGACAGAGGTCCTTTCAACGTTGCTTGGGAACTCAACCACGGAGACCGGGGAGACAATCCTCAATCCCACAGTCTTTGATCTCTTTGATTTTGCTGACCTGGATCTCAGCCACAGAATTCCAGCGCCCAGATTAATCTTCCTTGATGGAATTGGCTTTGATGTGTGTGCGAAATCGCAAGCAGACGAGGCGCTTGTTCTGTACAATCTAGCGGAGGTCGCAGAGCTCATCCAAGTCAGAAAGGAAGAGTTGCTGTCGAGTGGGCAGTTGCGACCTCAGGATGAAGAGCAATTCTCGGCCGAAGCTGAAGGCCTAACATTATTCATTCGTGCGACAAATCAAGCAAGGCAAATTGCGTTTAACCGTTACCTGGCGCTTCGATCATGGACAGAGCTCATCACAACGATGCTGGCTTGTTCAGAGATTGAGGGTGGCCGAAAACCAACGTTTATCTTGCATTCAATCCAGTTGGTCCTCCCTAAACTTGAAGCAGCCATCGAGGAGGACCTACCGGAGGCAATCGAGCTTGCACGACTCGCCGAGACTCTTATCGGGGGGTTCGAATCTACGTCCACGAGTACAGACGGTGCACGGCGAAGTGGGGATATCATAGACGAAAAACTGCACCAGCTGTTCCAGATCTGCATTAGAGGCATTTTCCTGGCAAGTGGAAATGTTCAGTTGCGTGAGACATTTTACAACATTGGTTCCCAGTACATCAGTCGTATCGCCTCCGCCGATACAGTGAATCAGAATCTGAGGCACCACAGTCAGCAAGTGATAAAGACAGCGGGCTCGAACCTGATTGAGACTACCTGTGACGACGCATACGCCGGGCAAGAAGCATGCCGGGTGTCGGCTCTGCTCTTCCTCAATCTGCTGGCCTCTCTGGATCGAGAAACAGACTCAACTCTGGCGGAGTTGATCTCACAATCGAACTATCTCAGTCTTTTCTTGGACGCCATCAGAGCGCTACCTCTCGAACTGAAGAACACTCAAGCAAATGGTAAGTCATGGAGGTAGAATTCGTGTAGTTGTGAAACACGCTGATATCATAGTAGATACGCCAGCATTGTTGTCATATTACGAGTCGCTGCTATCTTTACTTCAACGGCTCTGCCAAACCAAGAATGGCGCTACTCAAGTTCTGAAAACAGGCCTCTTTCAGGCGGTTCGCGAGTCAAGGCTATTTGCTGCTGATCCGGATCTGGGCATTGGTAAGTACATGTCAGCTTCTAGACCAGAATCTCTCTAACGACGCCAGATATTGACAACCCTGATGCTCTTCGGAAATATTATGATCTTCTTGGCTCGGTACTCCGAGTTATTATCTCAGCTGTCTTCTCTCGGGGTCTTCATAATGAGCAAATCATGGAGCAAACGCGAGCTTTCCTGGCAGAAAACAGACAGAGCATGGTCGGCATCTTCAAGCGATTTGCCAAGATCGGTGGAGTAGGTACTGCTGATCATCACGGCGCGCTGAGTGATTTGGCCAAGTGCTACATGACGCTCATCAGTGCCACCAACTTCCTAGAGGTATGTACTCAAGTCGCCACAATAACTGCAGATGCTAATAGATACCCAGTACGAGGACGAGGAAGTGAAGGAGCGAACTCGCCCGACATTATTCTCCTAGACTTGACTCAGAAATACGGCTCGCGTAGTCAAATAGCGGAACTCGGCGTTTTCTTATAAGACATGATACATATGCGATGCGTTTATTTCACTAGATTAAAAGCATTGGAAGCAATGAAGATCTGACGTGGATGTTTGCGTCTGCTTAGACATATTGGAGAGAGATGATATCGGGTATAAATCGAAGACAATTGATGTCCGATGTCAACGTGGTGTTTCCAAACTGTGTTTAAGATTCGTAGTTCGGCCGTAGGATAGACAGAAAGACAGAAAGGTTAAGCTCGTTGCCAATAACGAGAATAATGTCCGTGACAATGCTGACAGGAGTTTACCTGCATCAATCAATCGGTTGAATGGAGATTATTTACATAGATAGTGTTGCTGCCCAGGTATGTCATCATCTTACAGTAGAGGAGCACCGTGCACGGGCGTATTATCTTATCTCCGACTAGTACCTTGCTCCGGAGTGCCCGTTGCATCCTTGCTGCCCAGTGCTCACCATCTCCTCGTCCATCGTTCAACCCCGCTACATCGCCTCTTTCGAATTCAACAAGCAAGTAAATGAATTGCCATGACCTGTACCTTCCAGGGAATTACTGAATCTCGCCAACGCTGAGCGCTCCCTTCTCTCGACTTGATCATTCGGACCGAACCGGGTCGATGCAGCAGAACTCGAGAGGCGCCCCCGAGCAGAGGAGCGGTAAGCGCAAGTCGATCGGCAAGAGGAAGCTTTCTGATCAAGAAGAGGCGGCATTTCGGTCTCAGAACTCGCAACAGCAACAGCAGGCGACCATCTCCGAGCTCTTATCTAGGAACCATACCCACGGCAAGGGTTATCCCCAGCAATCCCCTCCATCGAACAAGCGTTCTCGGCTATCATCGCCATCATCGTACTCGCGGGCCCCGGTTTCGTCACAGGAGCTTCATCCGCCAGACAAGATGTACAATTTTTCGAATTCGGAACATAGAGCAGGTGGAGCGTTTGCGCAGAGCTCCCCGGCCAACACGGCAGTCAAGCCCCATTTCTCGAATACATCATCGCGTCAGAGCAATTTCACCCCTCATACTGGTGCAAAAAGGCTTGTAGTTAAGAATCTCCGGACGGGTTCGCGGTTGAATCAGGATTCATACTTTGATAAGGTCTGGGCACAGCTGGATGCAGCGCTGAGCGCCGTCTTTAGCGGCGGGAAGCCCGAGGTTTCGCTGGAGGAGCTCTACAAGGGGGCAGAGAATGTGTGTCGCCAGGGAAGAGCCGTGGTGTTGACCCAACGGCTGCAGGACCGATGCCGATCGCACATGTCTGGGGGTCTGCGGGACGAGTTGCTGGCGAAGGCAGCTGACGGGAGTAATGTGGATACATTGCGGGCTGTGATTGACGCATGGAGCACTTGGAAATCTAAGTTGGTAAGTTGATCCTGCGTCGGTTTGAGTTTGCCTTTCAGATGATTGATGAAGTCTTACAGGTCACCATTCGGTGGATCTTCTACTACCTCGATCAATCTTTCCTACTTCATTCCAAAGAGTTTCCAGTCATCCGTGAAATGGGCTTGATCCAGTTTCGGAATCACATATTCTCCGACCCTGTATTACAACCAAAGATTCTACAAGGGGCTTGTGACCTAGTTGACGCAGACCGCAATGAGGATCATGCCATGATGGCAGATTCTTCTTTGCTCCGAAATGCTATTGAACTCTTCCATGGACTTGATGTCTACACAACAAGCTTTGAGCCTCTCCTTCTTTCCGAGTCGAAGCGATTCTTCGCATCGTGGGCTCAACGAGAGTCCTCTGGATATCTTGCCACATTTGTGGAGAACGGCCATAATCTAATAGCGAGAGAAGTCAAACGCTGCGAGCTATTCTCGTTGAACAGAAGCACCAAGCAGAAACTGTCTGAACTTCTTGATCGTGTCTTGGTAGCAGATCAAGAGTCGGTGTTACTTAACGAGAAAGACGTTCTTGGGTTGCTTCGAACTGGCAACAAGACTGCTCTGGAGAAGCTCTACACTCTTTTAGAGCGAAGGCAACTTGGGACGAAATTGAAGCCAGCTTTCAAGAATTATATTGTGGAAGGAGGCTCGCAGATTGTCTTTGACGAGGAGAAGGAGGCTGGAATGGTCGTTCGTTTGCTAGAGTTCAAGGCACAGCTGGACGATACATGGGTCAACTCGTTCCACCGCAATGAGGAGCTGGGTCATGCACTGCGCGAAGCATTTGCAACCTTTATGAACAAGAGCCGGAAACCGGAATCTACCGGCGGGACAGACAATGTCAAGACTGGCGAGATGATTGCCAAGTACGTGGACAGGCTGCTGAAAGGTGGATGGAAGCTGGCACCTGGGCGCAATATGGCGGACGTGCCGCTGGCCGACGAGGACGCTGAGATTAACCGACAACTGGATCAAGTGCTGGACCTGTTTCGATTCGTCAACGGCAAAGCGGTGTTTGAGGCATTCTACAAGAACGACCTGGCTCGTCGGTTATTGATGGGCCGAAGCGCAAGTGATGATGCGGAGAAGAGCATGCTGGCAAGGCTCAAGACAGGTTGGTTACGATATGCACCATCTTTGCGTATATTGCAAGCTAACCGTATTGAACAGAATGTGGTTCTACATTTACACACAATCTCGAGTCCATGTTCAAGGATATGGATGTAGCGCGAGACGAAATGGCTGCATATGCCTCGATTCAGCGCGAACGGAGGAAACCGCTGCCGATCGATCTAAATGTCAGCGTGCTCTCAGCCTCTGCATGGCCATCGTACCCTGATGTGCAGGTGCGGATTCCACCAGTCGTTGCAGAAGCGATTGATGACTTTGAGACGTTTTACTACAACAAGTACAACGGGCGGAAACTTAACTGGAAGCATCAGTTGGCGCACTGCCAGCTGCGGGCCAACTTTTCGCGCGGACAGAAGGAGCTGGTGGTCAGCTCGTTTCAAGCGATCGTACTCCTGCTTTTCAACGACGTTCCTGAGGGCGGAAGTCTGAGCTATGCTCAGATTCAGGAAGGGACGAAACTTTGTGAGTGTTTCTACTCGCCTTATTATCACTTGTATCCGTACTGACTGCTTTGACCGTAGCCGACCAGGAGCTCCAACGCACACTCCAGTCGCTGGCATGCGCCAAGTATCAGGTCCTCACTAAGAAGCCAAAGGGACGAGACGTCAATCCTACGGATGAATTCTCGTTCAATGCGGGCTTTACGGACCCAAAGTTCCGGATCAAGATCAATCAGATTCAACTGAAGGAGACGAAGGAGGAGAACAAGAAGACGCACGAGCGGGTGGCGGCCGACCGACATCTTGAGACTCAAGCGGCCATCGTGCGAATCATGAAGAGTCGCAAGCAGATCTCGCACGCTGAACTGGTTGCAGAGGTGATCAAGGCGACGCGAAGCCGAGGAGTGTTGGATGTAGCGGAGATCAAGAACAATATTGAAAAGTGAGTGGTCTTTCCATACTTTTCTAGGACGAATACTGACTGTTGTCTAGACTGATCGAGAAGGATTACATGGAGCGAGACACGGAGACCAGTCCCAATATGTACAAATATGTCGCATAAGAGCAATTGCATTGTGCCGTTAGAGAAGCTGCTACCCTTTTATCCAGCATTCATTCTCTCTTTATGATCTTACATCAATGACATTCATCATGAGCTGATATTCTTCACGATCTTCTTTGACTTATAATTATGGTATTCTGCCAGAGTTACGAACTACTGTGAAAGCTTAGGCTAGAGCCGCGAATGCCGGGACTGGGAAATTCTGGAACACACCCGGAGTAGCTCCGACCCCACAGCAGCTCTGAGCGTCGGGCCCTCGGGGGCTGTCGGGGTGGCCAGACCAGTTGGCGGGAATACAGTAAGCTGGATACATTGTAGACTAAGGTGGTACTCGACCGAGAAGCGATATAGTCTAGGCAATAGAGCCACGGTCCGAACACCTATCTATGGCTCTTACATTAATGCTCTGGAAAGTTCATGCCCAATGCGGTAATGATAGTTGCAACAGTGGATTCAAGGGACCTGACAGCGGGGAGCTAGCTACTATTGTAGTACGTACCTCTCTAGATGAACCCATTTTTCTTCAGGTCTCATGACCATATCCATGGCCACCATCTTTGATATGTTATTGCGTGTATCAAAACGCATACTCTGTTCGGTCAAATTGCTCGGCTCACCTTCTCTTCTGAGGACTTATGCAAGGAGATTAGACTTATGCCACATGATCTCAATACTGAATGCTCAGCATCAGATAGCTATTGCAAGTTTTGCAACAATGTTATCATTATTGTTCTTATGGTTATGTGACTGGGTTGATGTCAAGTTCAGACCTGCCTTGGATAGATGAACGGAGTACTCTGGCCAATGGTTATACATCTATGACATCGTAGTGAGATAGCTAACTCAGTAGCTAGTTTAGCTAACTGAGAGTAAGTTATGCAATAATAATAATAAGAATGTTAGATAGGCTGTTGTTACTATTGCTGGATGGCTGCCGGAATTACCCTAGAGGGTAAGCCGAAGACCTCCCCGCTGCGTCCGGTCCAGACTGCCAACCCCACGATCAATGGGGGACACTGTCACTGTGTACTGGTACTTTGCATGGCAATAATAGTTGGTCCCTCAGTATGGGACTACGGAGGAAGGCTAACCGTGGTACCTTACAGTACCCCTAGAACTATGGAGAATAACTGTTCATGTGAGCAGCAAAACTGGGGGAAAAAGAGAACAGGTTCGGTACTCCACATATGGAGATCATTGAGTATATATTACTGCTCTTCCCCTCTCGAATGATTCTCCTGGATCATGATCTTGGTCTCTTGAACTGCTACATCCGTATACAGCATCCATATATATCGCCGCTGGTGACACGCGTTGTAGATCTGAAAACGATTCTCGAATATACTCCAGTGAGTCCGCCTCCAGACAACCACCACCCCTACCATTGTGATTTCAACCGGTTCAATTCCAGCGCCAATGGCTTCATCAAGATGTCTAGTCGAGATGAGTACCGAAGGGAGCATCCAACAACGTCTGACAGCTGACAGGTCGAAACTTGATCACAGGATACTCCACATTTTCCCCGCCTCTCACGGACTGCAAACCGATTCCCCAAGTTGCACCCCTTGAGATCCCCGTCGTAATCCCTGGCACAGTCGCTTCCAGTCATCCCGCGGGCTGCGAATTGAGGGGAAATACGCCCAGAATTTGTCCGATTGGAACTCATCCCGCGCGAGACAGTTGCAGGCAGATTATTTAAAGCGACGAGGGGTTGTCTCTCTGTAGATCCAGCGACATCCTCGTATCTGTTTGAGTAGTCGACGATCTGTATATTCCCCGACTTTCTCCACTTTATCACGGCGCAACTCCAGATTTAGCGATTGTCTCGCTCCACATTTAACATCATGCAGAGTATGCTCACTTTTCTTCAATTGTCCAGTTTCGATTTCATCACCTGCGCATTCCGCAAATCATGAAGCCAGAGGTTGTTATATTGCGCTGACGATTTGAACTACAGCCAAACACTTCTTCGACGACCCGAATCACCTGGTCCAGACGGCTCTCCATTCCCTGACACTCACAAATCCATCGCTGGCGTTTGATTCGAAACACAAGGTTATTTTCCGTCGCCCGGATGCATCCAGAAAACCCAAGGTGGCCATCATCTCAGGTGGAGGTTCCGGTCATGAGCCTGCGTTTGCGGGCTATGTCGGTCATGGACTCATGGACGCTTCTGTAGCTGGCAGCATCTTCGCCTCTCCGTCTGCCGAACAGATTCGCCATGCCGCCATGAACTGCGTCGACAATGAAAAGGGCGTGTTGATCATCCCTATGAACTACACCGGCGACGTTCTCAACTTCGGCATGGCTGCCGAGAAATCGCGGGCTGCAGGAATCAAGACCGAGTTCTTTGCCATTAATGATGACGCGGGCGTCGGCAAGAAGAAGGGCGGAAAAGTTGGTCGTCGCGGTATCGGTGGTGGTATCCTCATCTTGAAGATCGTCGGAGCTTTGGCCGAGGCTGGGTAAGTTGACAGCAGCATGATTCCGGGGCCACAGTTAACCGTTGTGCAGTGCATCCCTCGAAGATGTGTACCGCGTTGCTCAATTAGCAAACGCGAACCTTGCGTCTGTGGGTTCCTCTCTGGAGCACGTCCATATCCCGGGTAGAGGAGTCCCAGAGGATACCATCCCTGATGGGGAAGTGGAGGTCGGAATGGGCATTCACAACGAACCCGGGTCCCACCGGATGAAGTTTTCCCTTCCAGAGGTGATCAAGACTATGCTCTTGCAGATGCTGGATCACAACGACCCAGACCGCGCTTTCCTGACTCATCAGCGAGGCGATGAGTTCGTGCTGCTCATCAACAACCTGGGTGGTGTCAGTACCCTGGAGCTCTCGGGTATCACCGACGAAGTATACCGCCAGCTCACGAAGGATTTCAGCATCAAACCTGTGCGCATCATTCAAGGAACCTTCCTGACCAGTCTCAATGGACTGGGCTTCAGTGTTTCACTACTGAAACTCGCGGATACAGGACTGGGTCCTGGCAAGTCTATGCTCGAGCTCCTCGATGCGCCTGCCGAAGCCGTGGGCTGGTCTGCTCCTATCCGCACAGCGACATGGGAGGCACACCAGTCCGATGCTCCTGTGGAGGTCAAGAGCACCAAGCTTGCTGAAGACCAACCTAGTAACATCAAGCGTAAGTTTCTTTAATCTCATATGATATTGGTTGTCCCCCTTTACAGCGCTGATAATGTTACAGTGGACCCGGCCATTCTCAAGAAAGCCCTCGGATCCGCACTCAAGCGAGTCATTGCTGCCGAGGCATTGGTCACCCGGTACGATACCATTGTCGGCGACGGCGACTGCGGCGTGGGTCTGAAGCGCGGCGCAGAAGCCGTCCTCTCCCTCCTGGAAGACCCATCGTCCAACCTGACTGACGACGCCGTCACCGCCGTCAACCGCATCGTCACTGTCGTGGAAAACACCATGGACGGCACCTCCGGCGCCATCTACTCCATCTTCCTGAACGCGCTTGCGCACGGTCTCCGCGCCCAAGACCAAGGGACCCCAACACCCGCAACGGTCGAGGTCTGGGCCAACGCTCTCCAGTACTCCATCACCGCGCTGGGAAAGTACACTCCCGCGCAGCCGGGTGACCGCACCCTGATCGACGCACTAGTTCCCTTCTGCAACACGCTGGTCGCAGCCAAGGACGTCCATGCGGCTGCAAAGGCCGCGCAGGATGGGACCGAAGCCACCAAGAGCATGAAGGCGAGTCTCGGGCGCAGCGTTTACGTCGGTGGCGAGGAGGAATGGGTCGGCAAGGTGCCTGACCCTGGTGCGTACGGATTGAGCGAGTTCCTGACTGGGCTTGCTGAGGCGCTTTGAGGGTTCGTCGCCGTTCCTGTATCAAGTATATAACCCTTTGGATATTTTTCTAATATAATTTATGATGATAATGACGATATGCTTCTGTCCTTATTTATCATCTGCGTCTAGGATGTAGTAGGTGAGCATATGTAACCAATGACGACAACCTTGAGTCTCTGTTAGGAATTGAACATCATGGTAAAAGTGCATTCATTTGCATCCGTAAAGTCTAAGGAGTAGAACATCCCGTATATTGCCTCTGTCTATACGAATTGCGTGCTACCTGTCTTTACTTATTGGAGATACAGGGACTGACGCTTAATGCCAGACAACAAGAATATACGGACTACATTATTCGAGCCAAGCGCCAGCATCGAGCTTACTATATGTTAGACAATAAAAGAGAAAATGAGGGTTAAGATAGATAAGTCCGGCATGTGTACATCAATTACATGCGCCTACAGCCACCTCTGGACTCTGTTAAAATTCCAACTCTGGAGTCTCTTCTATCCACGAGCTTATTGCACTACATGATTCCATGAAGTCCGCGCGTCTGGTCAATCCCATTGGTTCTTTTCCTAGGAGCAAATCCTCGGCGTTGGCAGAACTGGGTTAGTAGTCCGTCACAGGCAGGGTGCCGTCAAGTTATCTCTCAGGTGGAGCACAAGTAGCGATGAAGAAGTGGAAGCAAATATCGAATCCCTTCAGCATGAACAAGCTATCTATCCGCGTTTAGGAGACTGTGACGACGTCGTTCCTTGGTTCTCTGAGACGGCTGACTGTGGAGGACTCTCCATATAAATGACATTGGGCAGCTGGGAGCAGTGATGTATGAGGTGGTGGTCGTAGAGAAATGCGAGTTTGATATTTTCAAGAATGTTCCGCCAGAGCGTAGTAGTAGTTCATGGTCACTAAGGGAGGACCTCCCAGTACTCAAGATGTTTGGCTTGGTTATGAATGAAAGATGTTGGACTAAGGGTGCATTCCGCAATGCGCACGACTTGTGGAAAGAATTGGAGTCCGTTTAGGTCGAGAACGAGCCGGTCGAGCTGATATAGCTTCCCTAATATCGTTTGCACCTTTCACAACATGCCAAAAGCATGAAGTCTACTCCAGGTGAAGTCTATCGCTTGGCAACAGAATCCTGTCATGATGTCGATTGAGCTGAACTTTACTGTTTGTGAAATCCCCTGAGAACCACTGCAAGTATCTAGGAAGTCATCACTATCCTTGCAATTAGCATGAGATTGCTTTGTCCAAGACGGTTGTGGTCTTGAAGATGTCCCCCTTGTAGTACGACAGCTAGGCAGGCATCAGAATGGGTTGCTTGACAGTACCACTACCAGGACTGGCATATCTCTTGTATTTATTGTTTTTCTACATATATTTCGCCTTGCATGCTAAGCTTTGTGGATGAGCTGGTGCAAGTGAACAGACAGCGCCAAGCCCTAAGCCCTACAAGCATAATGACCTTATATCAACGACCATTAACTTGTAGGCTCTGGTTTAAAGTAATCAGTACATACGCTAGTTGTAGTTAATTGGCGCCTTATTCGGACATTATGACATCTCAGCCGCAAGGTAATAGTCTCGATGCTACCTGCAGATGCTAGTCAGCTAGTAACAATCCCTGTCTGTCAGATTGCATTGATTGGTGTTTAAACCTGGAACTAACGGAGTCAATCGGCGGCTTTTATGTCGAGACAAATGGCTTAATGCATCCGAGGATCCGTGCTCATCGAGGTATTTTAGGTAGTTTAATCTCTCGCAGTCCAGAGAAAGCATGAATTGTTTAGAGTAGAGATAGCTCCTGTGCAGTCCCACAATGTCTGAAATAACTACTCCGCCAAGGAAGATCCTCCTGGTAGTTACTGGGGGAGGCTATACTCATGCAGGTGAGTACATCACATCCTTCTACGGCACAAATGAAATCCATATATCCTAACGGCTTAGCACCCGTCCTGGAACTCGGCAAGATCCTCGCCAACCGAGGCCATGTCATCGACTTTGCTACGCTTGATGGTCAAGAGAAATGGACAGACGGTTTCCCAATATCCCACACGCATCTGATGGGCCCCGGGCCGACAGAAGAACAGCTCGATGCTCACTACAAGCGAAGTCGACTTTGGGACCCAGCCAAGGGATTGGGAGATATTATGGACTCCAAATACCTCTTTGACTCCCTGTGGACGCAAACCTACCATCGACTGAAGGAGATCATGGCTGATCCCGCCACACGCCCGGATATGATGGTCGCCGATTTCTTCGTCGACGCGGTCAAGGACATCCATTTCGAGTACAAGCTGCCCATCGCCATCATGTGGCCGCAGATGCCGTACATGATGGTTCCCTGCTCGTACATCCCCGGCCAGCCGGGCTTCCAGCTAGACATGACTCTGACGTCGGAGAATGCGTCCATGTGGTCGCGGATCAACAACGAGCTGGTGGTCGTGCGTGCCTTGCCTGAGGCGCTTAAGCTCATGAAATGGACCAAGGCGATGCGCAAACGCGCGGGTCTGAACTATCTTTTTCCCACCCCGACGAAGCCGGACTACCTCGTCATGATAAACTCGTTCTTCGGTCTGGATGTCCCCAAGGACCTCCCTCCGCTGGTTGCCGCCGTGGGACCCATCCTCGCAGATGAATATCCCCCGCTGGATGACATCCACCAGCGTTTCCTGGACCAGCACGCAAAGACCATATACGTCGCGCTGGGGACCCACATCATCCTACCGCACGCGGATGCCCGGAAAATCATCAACGGACTCATCCAGGCGATGGACGCAGGGCTCATCAACGGCGTGATCTGGTCCGTAGGCAAGAGCGGACGGCAGCTCTTCGACACAGCAGACGAGTTCACAATCAACGGCCAAACCGTCCGCTTCGGCGACCTCCTAGACGGCAAACTCGCCGACTGGCTATTCCCCTTCTTTGCGCCCCAACGGTCGATCCTGGACCACCCGCACGCCCGGGTCTACTTCACGCATGGCGGCGGATCCAGCGCCAACGAGGGCCTCTACCACGGAAAACCCATGCTCGTCATGCCCTTCTTCTTCGACCAGATTGGCAACGCGGCCAAATTAGCCGGCAGCGGGACCTCCGAGGTCCTGCACAAGTTCCGCTTCACGGCGGAGGACGTCTACACTAAGACGAAGCTAATCCTGGAAGATCGTGAGGGGGCCTACGCGCGCAATGTACTTCGTCTCCAGCGGATTGCTCATGTGACGTCTAGACGGAAGCAGCTGGGCGCGGATCTCATCGAGGAGGTGTTGTATGATACGGAGCTGAGGGTGGTGGATGGGAAGGAGACGCGGCCGATGCATCTCCAGACGGCGGATATGCGGATGCCTGTTTACAAGGCGAGGAACTGGGATCTGATGGCGGTTTCGGGCTTGGTGATGGGCTTGCTTGGAGGAGGGACTTATTATGCGGCGCGATTGGCCTGGATGCATCGTCGGGCTGTTAGGAATTTTGTTGATTCTTTGGTTCGAGGGTCGGTGGTTGGTGGTTAGGGACTCCCTGGCTTTAAGAAGCTTGTATATGATAATTTGATACACACGCTTCGTATACTCCTCTTTGGCACTTCCCTTTCAAAACGAGACCATCCTCTCACTCTCCTCACTGTCTCATGCATCTTCTTATAGAGTAATATGGCATGCATTCGGCGGACCACACTCCCATATTCCAGGGCTGATACTGAACAAGCTGTCTACTTTACCATGTCACAACTCACATGGCACTATTGTAAATAAAAAGGAGCTCTATAGTTCACTAAGCTATAAGGATTTAACTTCTCTTCCATGAAGGACGGACTACGCACAGTTTAAAGGCGGATTATTCATTGAATACCCCTTATGATAGTCATGACTCTACTCATGGGCCCATGCTTAATGAAAATATTGCAGTGGAGGGCTGGCTGCCCCCTATTAAAATGGACTAGCAGGAGCAGGCACTCCAGGAACTCTTTTACCTGCCACAGGTAGTGGTTCACTGCCTCTTCCTACCAGAGACCCGGTCCTGCTGGCTAATCTGGCATATTTCTTAATATGACCATGGCTCTATCGCCGAGCATGGAAATTCGAGATATTATAACAAATCTCATGAGGACGCTCATATAATCTTTCCCACTCACCATCCTCGCCCATCTTTTGAAAACCTTCCAGCCCCGCGTCACATAAAGCAACCTTCATCCACCCAACATCCTTCAAAGTACACCCTTCGACAGGATCATAACCATCATCAAGTAGGTCCTCTGGCTTATCTATGTCTTCAAGATCTTCCTGGCTGAAATCTTCAATAGACTCAGGTTTCCACCACCCATACAGCATATTCACGAATGCATCTTTATTGATGCAGTCGTTGATAGGTGCCTGAAGAACACTCTGCAAGGACTCTTCATCAACAAAAAGACAGAACCGATAACGCGCCGCTTCAACGGCAGAGGACCGAATCATATCAGGCGAGCCGCCCGACTCTTCCTGAATAGCAGCCGTTGCCCATTTCTGGAAATGCTCACGGATTGTCGCCGTGCTCGCACCTTCAAAAAGGGCTCGGTCCTCGAAGACAGTAGTCTGAAAGCTATCAAGCATATCTAGACCATTATACTGCTTGAGCATGTCAGAGATATGCCATCGGTACCGATCTAAAAATTCGGCCCAGTCGGAATCATTTTGATAGGTGCATCGATAAATAGGGAAGCCCCAGGTGCGCAAGCCAGCTTCTTTTAGAGCTTTCTCGACGCGATCAGCAAGATTATCACGAGATTCCTTATCAGGGGTGCGCTTAGACGGATGCCGAGGTGGATCGCGTTTGGATAATCTCGCCAGCGCCGCTAATGCTTTTTCATGGGTACTTGTTGAGCAGTCCAATGAAGCCAGTTTTTGAACCTGATATTTCTGTGCAACGAGTCGGGAACATTGGAGCGAGGAGCGTATGGTGTTCCTTGCAAGAGGAATTGCACTCTGCAAAGTGGAGAAATTTGAGGTCCGGATCTGTGTTCTGAGGAGATTTGTAGTCGCGGACAACATAATTTGTGGGAGATGGTAGGAGAAAGGGAAAAGTGTCGGACGTGTTTGTTTGATATGATAGGTATCAAGACTTTCCTAGCTAGTTTTGAACTTACCCAAACTCAGACTGAATGCAACTCTACCTAATACTTTTTGCCTTGGAATTAATTAGTCTTAGAGATGCTCTTTATTTTATACAATAGCTCTTAGATGTTGCTGAAATTGAAAGAGGTGAATAATCAAGGCTTCAAAGGACTATTTGTAGTTATGGTGCCAAAGCACCTAAGGGAGAGCTGCATGCTCCTGTGTATATTCTTCATCTATGTTTAGATCTACATTCATGTAGCTAAGCATAAATAAGAACCCTTAAAGTTACTTTCCTTCTAGAAATTTTAGAACACCCTGGAAAGGTTTCCTTTAACTACTACCTTTGTTGATGAGTTAGCACTAGTTAATGTTCCGTTTTATCTCTGAGCAAGAGTCAGGGGCTGCAAATAGCTTGGTGCGGTATACAATGGATTATTTGGCGGCCAAGATTGGACTATTGCTGGGAAACTCTACTTTCTGAGATTTTGCCATGTGGGCACAGTCTAAGGAGCGATCTTTTGCATCTTAATGTGAGAATGTTTTGCGTCCTCTTTCTTCCCATATTGGCTTATCAATTACGTGCATGACTGCTCATAGATGTATCCGTGTTCCACCATAGTGCAAATTTGGATTCAAAGCTGTCGCGCCGTCTCTAAAACAAGATCATGTTTCCAACCATTTTAATAGCTCTCATCAACTGTTCTGATGATAGGCTTGCTAACTTGCCAGACTTGCGTCCTTGGCCGCTTTTAAAGCATTAGAGATAGCCACTGTTACTCAGAGCTCCAGAGATCAGTCCAACTCTATCGGCCATTAATATGTTAATGCCAGCAGCTGCTTGCGCCTTAAAGTAAAGTCAGTGAATTTGAGATCTCATATTTAGAAAAACTGGTGATTGTTGAACAATATTATGCTTACTTTTGCATTCTCTGGAATGTTGTTTTGGAGTCTGTATGAGCCACATGCCAATCCGGATTGCTTAACATATCCAATGAGTCTGGGGCAGCTGATGAGGGTGGCGGAGGCAAATATCATACTGGACAAGCTCCACCGCTTCGCAAAACGAACAGCAGATTGTAAACTGGAAGCCCTTGTCTCCAAATCTGTCACTGGAGGTTTGCCGGCATTGGTAATAAACATCACAGGGTACACTCGTTGCTTGAATGCTAAAAGAATGCAGACTTCAGGGGTAAAAGAGGAGAGTATCACATTTTGTGCACTCCGAGCGTGTAAGAGAATTTTTTCCAGAATCTTATCAACAAATGTGTTAATCTCTATGGCGATGGGCGAGACTCCAGCTTCCGCCGCCTCATGAATTCTCGGGTATTCTTAAGGTACCAAGATTAGCTAACTCTGAAGAATCTCGGTCAGGGTGGAAGGCGAAGCTTACTGATTTCAACATTAAGGCCAACCGACTCGGGTAATTTCGTGAGCACCTCTTCCAGTGTGGCAAACGGTGCCTGGATGAAGTCACCGCGGGTATTCGGCTTAAAGCTGTCGACAGTCCCAAAACGATTCTTTGGATCTTCGTAAATTCCGCTTCTTCAAGGAAGTCTCCCAGATATTCGCTCTTAGTAATGGCGCGAAGAGCATCAGACGCAGTATCTGAAAGCCTGCCTTCAAGAAGAAAATGACAAGCTTTGTTCCTAGGGCTGTTGTCGCTTGCGGCAATTGGCCTACAGTCTGGGTCGGCGCAGGCTTGTATTAGGAACTTGCATGTCTCGTACTGCTTCCCGTAAAGAGCCCATCGAAGAATTGAATAACCTCGAGTGGAGCTGATGTCGCGGGGTGAAGCCAATCCATTGTGAAAGAGATGCTGAAGTCCCTTGATGTCACCGCTCAAGGCAAAGCTGATGCACTGCGCCGTGTCCGGGACCCTTCTTAAAGTATCTAAGTGAAGAAGAGTTCCAATATTCGGCTGATAACCCACTTGCAGCCTTTCTCTATCTTCTAATTAAGTACTCCTCTATACAGTAGGTAAATATAGCCTTCTAAGCTCTTATAATCTCGATAGTAATTACCCATGTAGGTTGGATTAGGTTGACCCCAAGTCCCCAGCCCACCTAAATTACAGATTAGGTAGGTTGGGTATGGATTTGCGGGTTGGGTCAGCGACTAAAAGCTTAATCATACCTGCTAATATATATAGATTAGAATATCCTAAATGGCCAGCAGTTGTAATGCAGATTAAATTATAGAGCGCTAAGGAAGAGTAGGGAGAACTACAGAAGAGACTAGAGTAAGAGTATGATGAAATGTCTTAAGGAATAAATTAATGTTTTATGTGAAGAATAGCCTATTTTAGAGCTTGTACCACAAGCGCAGTAGACCCTGATAATAGGAGCCTTTGGTGATGAGCTGACAGATGTGGCTCAGGATTGGGTGGCAGCATCACCTCCCTGGCTGGGTGATAGTAGTATCTATAGCCACAGTCCTTCTGTTAATAATATTCCATAGGTAAGGGAGACCCTACCACTATCTAAATATACGGAGATTACCTTTTGGAGTGATGAGTGAGAGGAATAGAGGTTATCAGACCACTTTAAAGTAGCTCTGTCGGATCCATCACTTGTAGAACATGTTGCGAGAAAATATATAAAGGATTATTCATTATATGACAAGAATATGCGGAGTCTCAGTCCAGCACAATGTTATCACGCAGCTACTATTGATGGAACAACGCGATATTTATTGTCTTCATGCACAAGGAGGAGAAACTTGCAGCTGATAGCTGATTTATGAATGACAAAGATTCTATCGTTTAAAAAAGGTAGTAAACAATGGGGTGAACAATAGCCGCAATAGACACCAAACATAAGGTCATCTTCCCATGTAACTCAAGGCACCACAATACTCTTCCAACTCCTATCATCTGCCACGCCTTCTGTGTCTGTAGCGGTAGATCAGCACTCGGGAATAGCTCTCTGACACGTACCCCTCGCTGCCTGGAGGAGGAAGGAATAATAGTTTCGCAAGTTTGAGGAAGGAAACTCGCCTCGACTGATATCAGGGCGATATATGAAGGAAGGAGGAGCACAAGATGAAGAGCCAACATTAAGACAGATACCGAGATATCTGACAGGATGATGTTCGACTTTCTCGCAAAAGTCACATTCTCGTGGGGTGCAACGCTAAGATTCTCAATAATAGCAGGAATATGACTCATACAAGTCTCAGTGGAGGCATAGATCAAGGCCGGAACCGCCAAGAATTTCCATCGCCTCCAGTCGCGCCGTCTGCTAACTTGGTTGATTTGGTCTTGACGGAGGATCGTATGAGCAGACCAGAAGAAATGGTTCTCTGCGAGCAGGACCGATGAGACGATATACGCAAGCGGCCTTAGGGTTCCATGTTTTAGCACCAGAGATGATAACAGTTGGGTTAAAGAAGAGTGAGCAGTCCAATAAGAACATGCAGCGCCAAAGCCACTGAAGAGAAGATAGAGACCACCCTTGCTGTAGAGGGAAGAAAGCGTCTGTGTAAGCTGTCGGCAAGAGGGAATCCGCTTTTCGCCTCCCGTTTCATGGGAGTCAGTCTGGGTCTCGGCGGTTTCAAGTATCAATATGGACATAACAACGTGACCGATCACATATTGGATCTTGCTGCCATGAGTCACTGGAGAAATGGAGATTCCGAGAGACGGACGAAACTTACTAGCAAGTTGAGGATAATACCCACAATAATTGGGATCAAGCAGGCGAAGTTTTTTGCTTGGGCAGGTTTCTCTTGTAACAGCCTATGAGCTCGCGTAAGGAGAGGGTCATCGCCTGAAGAATGGATAAATGTGTTTAATAATTCGCGGAAGAGTGACAACACGAAGTTTGGGCGTGGAGAGTATGCCATCATTCAGGCTTTGAGTGTGAGCCTTGTTGATGGAAGAACATACGGGATGAGTGATGGCTGGCGATACAACATCTCGCCGCGCCCGTTGATGAAAGCAAACCAGGTGTCTTAATGCCTGCTCATATATATATGATGTCTCAGGCAGAAGGGAATTTGGTTGCCCTTCATTCAGCCAATCGCGAAAATAGCGCATTGTTGTTTCAGTTCTAAAACTAAGCTAATACCAAGCTAATATTAGACTACGGGAGATCCCCCAGACTCTGGATCAATGATATCTAATATGATCAACAGATGATCCAGTTCAGGCCACATTAATTCTAGTTCTTGGTATTAAAAAGGGTTACATCCGACTGCGCCGCTGGAAACTGAGATCACCAATCACTACTACCCCTACTTGGGATTCCCAGTCCGTATTTTCTGGTTTAACTCGATTTGTATGTTGTCGAGGATTTATTATTATATTCCGTATGATAGACCCTCCCCATCACTCCGAGACGTACATACTGGGTTGCTCTAGTCCGTCCCCTTGGCCCAGGGTACTTTCTCGTATGCAAATCATCCGTGCTCCAAGCGATCTGTTTCTTTCTTTTGGTTCGGAGATTGGGCAAAATCTAGTCATACGAGACGCAAAGTGCTTCTTGGGGGAAGGAGCCTATATACTCCCATGAACAGTATAAATAGAGTAAAACAGTCCTGTGAGGTATGCTGAAGGTTAACCACATCAAGTCCTTTTCACTTGAAACCTCACTAAAGTCTGAAGCTTCCTTTTGTCTTCTTTCTACTTATGATAATTCTCCTCCAGCAATAATGAGGCCCTGTTGTTTGTTGATCATTGCAGGTGCTCTGTTGGGGCACGCAGCATAAGGTAAGGAACTTAACTACACAGATAGCATCCATGCTCTGACATATGCCAATGTTACTACCTCCCCTGTTGATTCCCTCGGTGATGTCTGGTTAAACATCACCAGCTTTGCTGTGAATGAACTGCCGTACATACAGGAGGCTGTGGACATCACCTCCCTGGACAATGCACGTGAGCTGCAGGTTATTATACGACTTATTACGATAGCAGCAAGTCAGCACAGTAGGGTGATGTTATTTTTCTTTATAACATCTTTTTCATGAATGCTCATCCTGAGTTTGCCAGCATTACAAGCCTGTAAATGCAGGCTGGTTTAATAGATGCTGTGAGAGACAGGACCTCCAATGCTAGTCTAGATGATTGTTTGATTGAACTCTACGCCAGTACATCGAGCTCCTCGACCCTAGTTGAGGCATTTAGAGCCCTCCCCAATACGCCAAACGTCAGGTCAAGATGGGACTCTCGACTGTGCCTGCGACTGAACCATCGGCTACTGCAGTGGCAAAGTGGGAGGCAAACATTGACCGCAATCAGATCATATGCAGTGCCGTTCATGTGGCTGTGGCTAGCGCCTGCATAGCACTGCTTGGTCGGATTCGAATAGAGTTTGTTATTATCTAGGTCTATGATTAGATAACAAACTACCCTTAGCAGTCCATTATTATAATTACTATTACCACCTTTCCTACTCATCATTGTATAAATGCTATTTCAATAGTCGAGTATACTCTAATCTCGTATCGACAGTTTCAACTACGTACTGTTTGGCTGGTTAATTGATCCATGGAGCTATTAAATGAAGGTTCGGGCCGAGAGCAAGACTTAGATTGGAATAGTGGGTAGCCAATTCTTAAGCTTTTTATGTGAAGTGGGTTTCAGGAAAACCGCCTATTAACCATGTTGTTTAGTGGAGAACTACCACTTCGAGCATGCTGCAATTGGAATATATGCTTAAAGAGAACGATCATTTAATAAAGTGTGCTTTTACCACTTCAGCAGTCACCATGCAAAGCACAAAATTTAACGCTCCTTTATTCAAGGATCCATGGCTCTTCCCTTTTGGCGGTTTCCTATAATAGCTCTCCAATAAAACTAATTTCTTCTTGTCGCGGGCTAGAAGCCGACTCAACCCGAATGATAGATTTGGACTAGAAAATCAAAGATAATAGATAAAGGCACTTATGCAGGATTCAATATCAAGGATAGAGTTACAGCCACAGCATTTCTGCCTATCTCATCTCTCACATGCCATCATGAGCGGTTACATTCTCCGCATACTTCTCTTGACGCCTCAAATTTATTGTTCGGGACGCTTCCAGCGTGTGGCTACATGCTATAACGCTAGGCTCCTCATGGGCTCTGCGGCTAGTTTGTTATTTGGATGAATGACACTTTCTAGTCCATATTGCTAAACAAAGCTATGCTATCCAGCTATACTCGAGTTGAAGCTGACTAGGGACGGAGTAGCCACAATAAGAATGTTCTGAGTACTAAGGCCAACTCAATCACGTATGTTTTAGTTGTGAGAGTAGTTCGGACGCCTTGATCTAAGAAAGGCAATACTCTATCTTGGCTAACACTCCAAGAAGTAGGAAAGAGGCTGGAAAGGCTTGCGGCCGTGCCATTCGACCCCTGATCTGTCAGCCGCCCTCAGCCAGCGGAGAGTGCTTGCTTGTTCAGGTGAAGTTCAGGGGACAGAGCAGCAAGCCGGAAAAAAAAAAAAAAGAAAAAAAGAAAAGAAATGCAGGTGAACAAAAACATACAACAGCCGGGATTCGCTGGTGGTCACCCACCCAACTACTAACCGGCCGGCGTGTGGCTTAAGTACGGCTGAGCGGACGGGAAGCCCTGTTTTCCACACCCTATGGTCGTATGTGGTAGGATTCTTCTGGAAGAGGTTCATATATGAACTCACCCATCGCTGGAAGTCAGCTGCGGTTAAGCTGCCACCAGCGTGAAGTAGGCAAAATTTCAGAGAGAAATATTACTTGGAAATCACAGGTCCGAATGCTTTCGGCTGTAGCGGAAGAAGCCTAAAATGCCTTAAGACCAATGAACCCAGAATCATTTACTGAAAGAATATTCTTATGCCATCCGATTAACCGTTACACATTAACAGTGTAGAATTTCATTCGCTCCCAGCCCAAGTAGCCGTGGAAAAGGGAAAGAGAAATGAAGAACAAAACACAGTAATTACATGGTTCAAGAACAAGAGGTAAGCTCAAAAGGCTTCGCAGCAACTTGTTGTCACAATTACCACGTTAGAAGGTACATGTCTTCTTAGAAACAGTTCCTCTCAGAAAGCTTTTCATGCTTGCTCCTAAAAAGGAAGTCCAATCCCTTCAAGAAACAAGCTAGCCCACCATTGCATGCCATGTCAAAATATAATCGAGCGGGTACATGCAACGCTTCAACACCAACACATTAATTATTCAACACATCACAAATCGCACCCCCGGAAGGCGGACTCGGATTCACCGGCGCAGGCCCAGGGTTCGGCGCCGGAGCCGGCTTAACATGCGGCGTGGGCGTGCCCCGATGATTGCACACATACGCGCTCGAGCACCACTTGCCATCATCAAGCTTATAAACCTTATCCCGATGATAACTATAGCACTTGAGCGGCAAATTCATCTCGTACATATGCCACGCGTCGCCCGCAGCAATGGGGTCCTTGATGTTCGGATTAATGTGCACGGTAAACACGTCGCCGTTGGGCATGCGTGCGGACACGCCGCCTTTTTGGCCCCAGGGATATGAACCGGACCAGGGGACGTTGACCATCATTGTTGGTTTGTTGGTGTCGGCGCCGTTGCCCGTCCAGACGTCGCCGGGGTAGTAGATCATTTCGCGGGAGGTGGAGCCACCGTTGACGCCGAGGCCAATACCGCAGTCGGCGAGGACGAGGTTTTCATTAGGGGTTCTTTGGGATGTCACAAGGTGGAGGAGGGAGAGTAGACCCGTGAGGAGGAGGATAATGTTGCTTTGTTTGAGTGTCGCCATTTTGAGGTTCGCTTGAGGAGCAGGCAGGCAGAGTTGATGGACGAGCAAGAGCAATTGCTATTAAAACGGGCGAGAGTCTCTTCTTTAACCTTCATCGGGCAATTGGCGCTGAATCTGCGACAAGTTATCGACCTCGTGATATAGAATGGATGATGAGCTTTGGGAAGTCTGTCGACCCAGCTGAGGTGCGGCTACTGTGACCCTAGATAGTATTATGCATCAGAAAACCTTGCATGCAGCCCGGAGTGCATTTCAGCTCTCGGGGTTCTCCGGCATTCTCTCCAGCACTATCAGCTGTTTTCTCCCCCAAGTGTTCACCGCATCGCATACTGCAGTGCTTGCCTGCTGCAAGGTCATGCCATAACTGCTTGGACAGTAGTGGCGCCGACTGCGACTTGCAAAATGCGCAAGCGGAATCGCCGATGCGAGGATGACGTGGGGGTCCGAGAAGCATCTAGGGCTGAAAATCTTCCCGGGGAAATTGCAGCTGAACACACATGGCCGGTTGTCGACCAGTTCTAGACCCTTACTGGTATGACCCTGAACGGGCAAAGAAAAGTCAATCTAGGATTAGCTCTGCTGTTCTAAGCACCTCGTGCATAAAGGGCAAAGTAGCCGACGACATGTCAGGGGTTTCAGGCCAGTCACGTAGCTAGGGCTGAACATCCCTGCCAAGCAAACGGCGGCCTTAGTGGGGGGATCCTCAGTTCTAGAAGAGTACTGGGGCGCTATAATATGCATAATGACGTCCTGTCATGTATGTATCCAGGCAGGGATGTCACAGTATCACTCGACTTATTAGCCAAGTGTTTGTGGCGTCGCACAATACGACAGGCGCTCTGACCCTCACGCATTGAGGACACGGCCTGCGATTCAGGTGAGGCTTCGCCTCTTTCGAAGCGCGTTGGAAAACCAGTCGCATTCAGCTGGCTGCGACAAGCATGGGCGTCTCTCAAGGACAGCAATCGGAATGATATATCAAGCAGTTGGGAGCGCTTCAGAAACCCACGATTCTACAAGTTCAGCTTGCAGACCCAACTCCTAACCCCCAACCCCCAACCTCAGCGCTCACAATGCTGTCCCTCAAACTTCCCAAACTAGCCCTGTTCATCCCGCTGCTAGGAACCTGCCTAGCAGAGCTCCTCACCCCGTTCCCAGACACCGCCAGCGACCTCGCCATCAAGTTCCAACCCGTCCTCGACTTCGACACGGACAGCTGCTACCAGACCGCGGCCATCGGCAAAGACTACAAGGTCAACTCTGGTATCGACCCACCCCTCGCTCCACCCCGTCCTCCAGGTCCAGGGCCAATTATTCGAGCCGCCACCGACGACGAGCAAGTCGTCTTCGCTGCCAACGCCAGCGACAGCGACAGCGAGATTGGGATCCGCTCAGGCGGTCCCTATGCACCCTTTGGATGCCGCGACAAGGCCCGACTAGACCACAGCCAGACGTACGTCCGTGAGCGCTGCAACCACGGCTGGTGCGCGTATCTGTATGGGTACTACTTTGAAGTCGACACTGGGTTTTCAAACGCACACAAGCACGACTGGGAGCACGTCATCGTGTGGACGCTCAACGACCAAGTGTTTTTCGTCTCGTGGTCCGCGCACGGCGACTACACGACGCACTACTCGTCCACGATCCGGTTCGAAGGCTCGCACCCGAAGATCGTGTACCACCTCGGTTCGTCGGGTACGCACTCGCTGCGCAAGGCCGAGGCCAAGGACGATAAGATTGAGAACGACACCGGGCGGTGGTTTCGGGCGCCGCTTGTTTCGCTGGAGAAGATGCCCTGCGAGTTTAATCGGAAGCTGCTGAATAATAATTGGGGCAGTGCGCATAGTGATTTGAATAGGCTTGGGGAGAAGCTGGATAAGTGGATGCCGTGGGATGCGAGGAATAATGAGCATTTTAACCCTTGGGAGCCCAAGGTGCCTTCGTGGGCTGTGAGGGGGTGAATTGGGGATGGACGATAGCTATCAGTTCGTATTGTGGACGGCGGTCAGATTGGGCTATGGGCTTTTTTTGGGGGCTGGAAAGCAATTGTCTTGTGTTTGAAGGCCAGACCGATCTCGAGACACACTGTACTACTAAACGAAAGCAGGTCAGACGTGATTCGCACGGGGGCAGAGAATGATTCTCAAGGCAAACTCTTTGCGACAGCTTAGCAGAAGGCATCCGGGTTCGCGTCACGCGTCCTCCGTCTCAATAGCATCTATCAGCGCAAAGCTACGTTGTAGTAGGAGAAGGTGGATATATCTTTTGAGGAATTATCATGTCCAGCCTTCAGGGCGCCCTGTACACTGTTCTCAATAACATTCGTGGAAATTCCTAGAGGTAAAGACGAAACCTTTGTCTGTATTGCCTACTTCAACTATCAACCTGGTTGCAAGCAACGGTGTATCAAAGAGCAAAGGCATCTGGAAAAAGAAAAGCATCCCACGTAAACAAACCGTGGCGAATAACCACCACTTGCCAACGCAACACCCGCAGATCAGCGGTCGAAAGAGGATGCTGCTCACTTGTTCCAGAATGATATGGAAACCACGCAGGACGGTGAGACCACAGACCGAGAATTAACCACCCAGATGACGCTGAGAACCGGATGCGGGCGGCTTTCCGAAGATAGCATGCATCTCTGGGAGTTCCGCGCTCATCGTGCTCTGATCGCACTTCTGCATCAGCTCGAAATCCACCATGGTTACAGTCCGGGTGTCTGGTGAGTAGAGGACATTGTGTTTTCCCGAATCAACTGATATGTACCCGATGCGTCTCAACACCTCGACGGCCTTGTAGATAGTCGCGCGTATATGGTCCCAGTGATCCGAAGAGAGGAGGTCCCACTGACGGTCCAAGGGCTCGCCTTGGACTTTCTTGATTATCATGATGTGTCCTTTGGGGAATACCGAGGAGCAGACGATTTTTCCGTGAGTCTGAAGAGGGGCGAAAAACTCGAACCCTGCTGGCCTCAACTGGTACAGCCTTTCGTATGTGCTGACCTCGTGTACGTATCTGGAATTACGGTCAGCGGTTCTGTCAACATGAGTGCTAGAGGAAGTGCTCGTACCCTTGGTGACGTGCGTTTGACCAACATTTCGCAATAGCGGGCTGACCGTTCCAGGTAACCTCATAGAGTGCTTTGGTATGAGATCCTTTGATTAGCCGATGGCAGTTGACCCATTCCTGGGCCACCCCATCTTCGCCTCCGAAGAGGATCGACTCAGACCCCATGGCTTCTCGTGGAGTGTTAGTTTTCGTGGCCACTTCATTACGAAAGGGAGATGGTCGTATAGAGGCTTGAACGAATGGTTCAAAAGGGATTTTCAACTGCCAACGAGAAAGGAATTAGCTTGCCAATTGCGAATTTCCAGGACCCTAACAGGTCGAATGACTAGGTGGCACCCTACGCGGGCGGGATTGAAGTCCGGTGCCTCAGTGTATTTGCCGTCCTGAGAAGCGAGAAGACAAAACGCAACGAAACACTGGCGGAGGGACGGTTTCGTTGCTTGTTCAGCGATGGGCAGAGACAACTCAAATCGAAAATCGCCAGTCCTGCGAACAAACACGGTGCTGCGATAGGTAGAAAGGAAGCCGTATTTCAGTCGGTTGGTCCGCACGTAGGACACCAATTGGCCTAGATACATCAGCAAGTGAGCACGTGTTTCTGTAGGGTTCATAATACCGAAATGCGGCTGCATCGGGGCCATATTCGCCGGGCCTTCATTAACTGATAGTCCTCTAGCAAAACCGTCCAAAAGGTTTTGAGTTCCCCGACGGTTATGACGTTTAATCTCGGTTCAGAAAGCACGACAACATCAGGTACATCCCTACATTGCGTGTGAACAGCCGCTTGAAAATCCCCAAAGGTAAGGTGAGCGTGCTCCGTCACGGAAAGGACCTTGGCGACTGGGTCGCAGACGTGTTTGTTGAATCTTCCAGTAAGTCCCAACTCATTGCCAACATAGTAGTGCTCATTCATGTCGGAGTCGTCAGTCACAGAGACATTGGCATCGAGACTCAACGTGTTGCACAATGTCAGCACCTGCCTGGGAAAGCCAATCCACTCATGGAGAAACCGAGCTGAGATATCCTCTCCTGACATAGAGTCGTCCGTAGTGCCACGACTTTGCTTCAAGTGAGGGATTGGCCTTTCGACCAGCTCCCTGGCAGACTCCATGGCAGCGGGATACCGAAACCGAGGGACACAGAGAAGTTTCTAATAAAGACAAAAATGATTGATGGATAGATGGATGGATTATCAAAAACGAGAAGGTGAGGGAAAGATATATAGAGGGATGGTTGATGGACGATGAGAAAGTGAGGGGAAAACAACGCAGGACAGTGTCGCGGAAGAGAAAAGAAAAGAAGGGAGAGAGGAGCTGGCCGATTGTGAAGTGAGAGAAGGCTACCCACAGCAGACGTCACTTGGTAAGAAAAAACGAAAACAACACTTCGATGGTAGCATGTACTGGAATATTTCTCTTGTACTTGAATCAAGATGATGAATGTCAAGTATGAGCTGAGTCATTGAGAGGTTAGATCCACGGTAATTCACAAATCAACCCCAAAGCTACCATCATCCACTCCGGGAAGAGCTGTGCCTTGAGACTTTGATCTTAAGGCATTAATTAGGTACTCTAGTACAGGACATACTGGAACAACTAGAAACCCCTATATGCTGTAGAAACAGGTTCATTGACTAATTGAACAAGGCTTGTTGAGCCATCATGATATTCACCAGGCGCACCAGGCGGTACATAGAGTAGCATTTTTCCTACTAGAACCATGGAAGCACGAGCCGAAGAGAGTGGCTTAGCAGGCAGAATAAACAGCAATGTAGGGAATTTCGCTCGGGGCAAGATCAGATACAGATTGCAAGACATAGACAATTTATCTGGCATCCCTCAGATGGTCTCGACAAATATTTGTGTCAACTCCGTGCATGCTGTCGGGGAATTTACAACCACGACCAGAGCAAATCTTCTGCGGGCAACGATGTCCACAGACGCAGGTCACGTCATGACAGAAGATACCATTGGAACAGACGGATAATCTGGCAATATGCGTCAGATCGGTTATCTCCGTGTCATTGAGTGGTGGGCCATGCTTGTGTGTACAGTTGTTGCCATAGGGGCATGATCTGAGAAGATGAAACTGGTTACACAGTTTCCTGCGCTTCAGCGTCTCTACATTTTCCTTGGACGAATATCGCAAGGGATGGTCCACCCGTTGGCCTCTTGAATTCACACATACTGACGGCCTTAGTTTGCTTGCTCCATGCGCTGGAGTACTCACGACCAGTGATGATGATTGCGTCGGAGGGGTTGCCTTCGCTGCTGACGCGTAGTTGGGAGTAGGTGTCCTGGGGGGTGTAATAGCGGTATTTGTAGCGCTGAAGGAAACTCTTCTGGTGGCCTTCAGCTTGCTCGACATGAACACACTCTCAAAAGAGTCGGTTGTGAATCCCGCAGCTAATTCCCCCATCTCTTGGGCGAAAGGGGGTCCTTTGACGAGCGAGATGCGTTTCGATCCTCTGTGTGGACTGAGAACACGCGCATGGCTGTTGTCCGCGGAGGTGCAGAAGATAATCCTTCGGCAGTGTACATCAATAATATCCTGCTCAAAACGTGCTGAAAATTGAAGTCGGTTAGGTTGGTATATACTTCTTGGGCTCAAGGACCGACCTCGTAACTTAACATCAGCGCATTCCTTTCCATTTCCTGCATCCACAAAATCACATAATGCATTCTCCTGATTGAACCCCTGAATAAACGAGGTCAAGCTTTCCCCAGTACCGAGAATGTTGTTATTACGATAGGCCTCCGTCAGACCTTCAATATTGGCAAACACACGGATCTTGCAGCTGATATTTGGCGGTGCTTCTGGGTCAACTTTCTGAATATGGTCTTGGACAGCCTGGATCAGGAGCCGTGCAGCTTCCAGGCCGCCATGCTTCCCATCTTTGACGAGACTTCCATGAAACTGAATAAAGTGGAATCGGTCAAATACTGAGCATCAAGGCATATCAGAGGTAAGGTGGCGTACATTCATACCATCTCCATCAACCAAAACAGAAACAAAACTCAACTTAGCCTAGAATAAAGATGTCAGCCACGAGCTCTGGATTGAACAAGATAAGTGAATGACCCACCTGATCACGGCGCATATTTTCAAGGTTCCTGATGTCTTCCTTGAATGAGGCTATAAGCCGCTTGTTATTATCAACCTCATCTCTCTCATCTTGGAGTTCACTTGTAAGCTCTTCAATATAAGCAAAGAGATCCTATATGTTAATTTCGTAAGTTATGCTGTAATCCTTTTCAGGTGTCTCTGCAAAGGCAACAAACCATAATGATCTTATCTTTGCTATCCTCAACAACACATACATCCCCATACCGTTTCTTCACATCTGCAATATCAAACATCATGGTTGATTTCGAAATAAAGTATCTTATAATAAGAGAGATTGAAAAGCAGACAAGTAGCAATGTAGAAGAAAAGAGAAACTTGGAAGTCAAGGGGCCGCATTTTAAAAGTACAAGGGCATGATACATCAGCCTTGCACACCCAAAAGGCCCCCCCGGCTGCGTAAGTTGTTCACTGCGCCGCAGAATTCCTAGAGTTGTTGTTATCCAAAAAATATTTAGTAGTGTACGCAACATGTCCTGATGAGTGGTAGATATGATAAAATAGCGCTGTGCCCAGCTTTGCTTTGCATAACATTTGATTCAGGAGCACATTGGATTTCCAAGGATTCAATGTTGCTTGGATGCAAATATTGCTAGGCAGCAGTACGTAGGGTCTCAGGATATTACAAGGATAGCACACTATTTATTCCGAGAGCAAATTTCAGCCTTGCATTTACACCAGAGTCAATCACTGTGCCTAGTATCCCTCACCCCTTGGGCAAAGGAATATAAGTTTCTTGGACTGCGGTAACTGCACTGTGGCACTCATGCAAACAGCATATGTGGATCATTTAGTAGTTCTTTTCTTACATTGTGTTTAAACAACCTAGGCTATGTACAACTTTGCCTCCAGAAGCTGAGTGCGAACTCGGCATCTTTCACTCCTGAAATATAGGATGTTCCGGATACCCCGAGGCCCTGATGATAATCTTTGCGCTTTCGAAAATCCTTGACTTACTGTTACCCCTAGCATCCTGCCCAGTAAAGGCACCATGCGTGTCCTCAAAATCAATATCCTCGATGGCTTTCCAAATACCATGAACATCATCCGGGGGAAGCGGAATCTACCTGATTAGCCTATTGACAGTGTCAGGACAAAGGAAACTTACATAGTTGGGATAGGACCACATGAACGCATAAGAGATAGTACCAGGGGGTCGGTCCACGCGGTAAAGTCCACTGGGAACAATCATAATGGTATCTGCAATGAGCAGTTTCTTCGCTGATTTCCACCACAGAACTGAACTGCCCGGGAAATGACCTCCTGTCTTGATGGCGACAAAGTCAGAGCTTTGAGCTGAATCAAGCGCATGGCTTGGAAGAGGAAGTCTCTTCCCCTTCCACAGCTTCAACCTGTGTCCGTCGCCTCTATTGGCGACCCATTCTTCATCTTCAGCAGAGATGTATAAATCACAATTGAAAGCATCCGCCCACTGGATGCTGGTGGAAAAGTAGTGCGGGTGCGAGATGACAATGGCCCGAATTCCTCCTAGAGAATTAATATGCCGGATCGTTTCGTCATCGAGATATGTGATACAGTCCCAAAGAACATTGCCGAAGCCAGATTCATCAAGGCAGAGAAATGCTCGTTGACCAATGGCGAATCTTGGCGCGGTTTGGATGCTGATGAGGTTGGGATTCTCGGGGTCAGTGGTGAAGACATTGCGATACTTTACAGGTGACGCTTGAAGAGAGCGCAGTGTTGTCCAGGATTGTCTATTCCTTTAATTAGTACAAAGGTTTCCTCGCTGCGAACCTGCAACGGTGAAGGGAGGCGAGAATTACCCCGATGGAGGAACATATTGTCGTGGATCATCGCAGATCTTGCAGGATTTCAACCCGGACGTGGCATCATACTGGACGCCGCAAGTGGAGCAGATCAGGAGGTCTAAAGCAGAAGGATCCATTATGCGAGGCTGGAAGATATGTCTGAATGGAGGAACGATAGAATGGCTTGTACAATGTTACCTTGATGATCCTTTAATTTCTATCGTGGTGGGCCAACACTTTATTTACTTATTTCCACTTCTGTGGTCTCGTAATCGGCCGTAGTCCAGATCGAATTGCTTATCATGGTGGCTTTGGATATCAAATCACATCCTACTACTATACGAGGTATTACGAGATGAGTTGACTGGTAACTAAATAAGAAGTTTCTGGCACCTTACATAATAGAAGAATCCTAAATCCAGACCAGTTTACTTTTATTGCTGAAACTGAACAACAGTTTACTACAAACCTCGGCATGTGCTATTTTCTTGCGACTGCGAGATAAGCCACCATCTCAATGCTCGCATTCGCCTTCTCAACGTCGCTCAAGTTTTCACGGAGCGCAGCAGGCAACTTTGCTCGGTCTTCTTCGCTCCAACCTCTCGTTATCGCTGACGAGAATGCAGCCACCATAATATCAACCAAGTCATCCAGGCCCTTCCATCTATACGCGACTGTCCGGGTCTGAATTTGAATGTTTCCACCCTCAAACCCGCCAGATTCGAGAACTCGTCGAAGCTTCTCTAGTAAACCATTTCTCGCTTATCGTCAATTCCAAGGAGTGCTGTCAGGCCGGACGGCTTTCTGCGCCCTGCGCACAGGTGACAAGTACCCCAATTTCGACCAGGTCGTTACAAAAGGCTGTCCTGCCAGGCTGCAGAGTGCGGTAGATATGTGACGCCCCCTTCTCCGGGTTTTTAAGAAAGAGGATCCCCATGTTCGTGTAGGAGTGAGTGGGTGAACATGTTGTCAGGGTAGGTCAGTTCCTCCGCATCCATGACTGATGCTTCCACGAGACCATCTTTGCCATTCACCCAGCCTTTACTCGCTGCCTTGGTGGACAAGCTCAACAGGTCAGCAGCATAGACCTTTGGTTCTGGAAGATGTGGGAAAGCGTTCAAGAATCTCTTCGGTAATAATCAAAGTTCCGCAGGCATTGTTGAGCACAACCGATGAGGCGTCCACGGTTGGTTGGAGAGTGAGCAGGAACTGTGCAACCTCGCGGGTACAACCGCCAGTGACATGTTCATGACTTTGTCGAAATGATCTGCCGCGGTACCTGCAGCGGGAGGGTCAGAGGAGGAAGACATGCCTGCTCAATATGGCATCAGCCCTTGTTGGGATTATATCAGTTATTTCGGAGAGCTCTTAGACAAAGGAAAGAGTCCACTCATTTACCACCGTAGAATAATAGGGAACATGATAGATTTAAGTCTGGGCTACGTGCGGGGAATGAGCAAAATATCCACCAAGGTGCGCTCACATCTAGACTAGATCTGACATCTGGACAGGACATCACAGGTGTAGGGAAGTAAATCAGTGCTACATGCGGGAAGCATACAGCACCACTCCACCGGCCTAGCCAGAAGGACTTTGAGAGCAAATATCATTAAGGTGTTCTCTAGCACTCTCGTATGCAAAGTGCCATCGAATCCATACCAGCTTACTTGCATTGCTGAAGCAAACAAAACCTTATCAGGCATGGCTCCAGTTATACTCGGAACCAAGACAGTGTTGAACTGAATATAGTCAATGGCAAATTCCTTTTGATTGCAGAATTGCTCTGATCTGTGTTCTACCTGCCTGATTGCCTTCCAGAACCAACCTGGTGAACCCTTATATTTCTTGGGGCCGGGCACATCAACTTATCCCTTGTATTCAAGACAGGGAAGATCGAGCGTCTTAAGCACTGCCTAAGTGCAAGAAGTGTCCATCAGATATGAGATTAAGAGTGAGCAGACAGCGGAGATCCACTGTTCCTTAGAAAAGAGGATACTAATAGCGCTTGGGTACTTCTTAATAGAGAATGAAAGTTTCTGATGGACGCGGGCCGTCCTCAATAGGACCTGCAACTTCGCAGACGCTAGCTGGCTGTGACTAGTAAATAAAAATGCTGCGCGAGGAAAACCCTCCTCAAGAGCCCGTCGCTTTTCCCGTGGACGGGCTGCCCACGAAGCTTTTATGGCTTACGGTGCCTTGGGCTCATACCTCTCTCCTCGGTCGCTTGCTCGTCGCTCTGCGTATTCTACCTTCGTCAAGAAAGCCGAGCGCGCGCCGGGGAACCACCCTTTTCATATCCCTATAGGACAGCTCTGCGGTGTCACACGCATGTCGACCCAACCCCTTGCTTGTGCTTTGTTTTGATCAGCGCCTTCCTAGTTGCGAAGCGCGCGGGCGATCAACGCCATTGATCAGAGGCCCAGTACCCAAGAGCATTTCATGTGAGCGTCGAACGTCAGTTGCTTCCGTCCGCTCTATTTGACGTCGGGCAATTCCAAGCACGCCCTGTTCAGGAAGAAAGCGAAATGTGTTCGATAATCCACATTTTCAAATGATTAACAAAATGCGATAGTCATTCGGCGTAACTTAATGCATATTATTGCAGGTGGAGCGCAACATTGAAGGCCGTTCCCGGAATGAGATGGGGTCCCAGTAAATGGGTTACTGATTTCTGTTTGGAATCGCCGAAATATCCCACTGGGTTAAATGGATCATGCTGTCGCCCGTGCTGCCATCAGTGCAAGAAAAGTACAAGATGCTTTCATATCTAATCGTTGTACGTGAGTCACGTGATGTGGTCGTGGCATAAACGAAGCCACTTGACTACCACAAATCCACAATGCTCAAAATTGACTTCTATATCTCCATTGCCTTGTTGTATTCAGGCAGAACCCACTTAACCATCCACTCCGATTTTAGAACTTCTTCAGCGCTTGGTCGCTCTTCTGGTCGAAATGCCAACATTCGGCGCATCAAATCTAGAATGGCAGTCATTTCCTCCCTGCCAAACTCACCTACGCGGCCACTCTTTCGTCGATATTTCTGCACCCCTTCCTCAAATGCCTCGTCAATCGAAGGCCACACATGCCGGCCTTCCTTTGGACGCCCATCGTCATCAAAAAATTGACTTCGTTTCGCCCAGCATTTGAACCAGCTTAGGGGCATGGCTCCCAGAACATCGATCTGCTGGGCCAACATCTCATCTGCCGTGGCGAATTCGCTGCTGAAAATGGCTTTCATGCCAAGTATATCCCATATCGTGACGGCCAAACTCCAAATATCTGCTGGATATGAGAGTGGGGACTGCGGTTCGAATCGGGCTTCCGGGGGGCGTACAGCTAGCGGGGTATGACAGTCTTTCCCGCAACGAAATTCTTCTGGAGCAAATGCCTCGCCAAAGTCACCAAGAAGCACGCATGTGTCGGACAGGGAGAAATCTTCGGCATTTTTCCCAGGGTAGAGCGGTATTACTGCCTTCTCTGGGACGTTGGGCGGACGCGGCTTTCCGTTGCGCTCCATAATGGTGACTGTCTCAGGCTCGCCATGTTCTTCATACAGTTGCTCGATCGAAAGCTGATCGAAACTTGATGGAAGTTTGACTAAGACGTTACGGAGATGAACATCTAATGATGTTAATTGTAGGATGATGAAGTCACAGAGAACTGCAATGACTAACCTCCATGAACATAGCCTTGTGAATGAGTATACGCAATAGCCAATATGAGGCCACCTGACAGGGCTCGTGCAACTTCGATAGGGAAGAGGCGGCTGAAAGATACCTCTCTGAGATTGCATCGTGCGGGAGCCATTGTATAGCATGGATGTGTCCCATTGGGGCCATGGACCTCAAATTCATCCAGAGGAAACGGGATTGATTTACGGCCGGGATGCACGGAAGAAGACGAAAGAGCTCGGAGAATCTTAGTCTCACGCGGAAGCGCATCTGCGATGCCGACTTTGACAGCAACGTACTGTTCCTGGCGAGTGTCCCTGGCGAGCCAGATGGTCGAATAGCCTCCAAAACCCAGTTTGTCCACAATGCGGTAGCGCGCGTGCAACATGTCGCCAATCATAACAGGATGATAGCCGCCGGGCTTGTATTTTTCAAGTGATTCTACACCATCAATCCAGTTGTACTCTTCTTCACCGTGCGACATTGGCGCTGACGAACAGAAAGATGTAGAGTTCTGTCGTATGGACAATCCAAACTTAGGCTTTGAAGGGTAGTAAATGGATAGTAGGCGTGAGACTTGAGTTGAGAGTTGGAGTAATCCGGGCGTTAAAAATTCAGAGATGACAGGATGAGTGGCCACCTTTAATCTGGCGTAACGCGCCATATTATATTAGGAACGGAGGCGTGGTAGTTTGAAGGAAGCGAAAGAGCCCGCTTTCCAAAAATAATGATGTGACAGCCGCCCGAACCAAACTATTTCAGGCGACTGTCCCACAAGGGGCCTCAAGAAAGTATCTACAGGAGGCAGCCCCTATATAACTAACAGAATTGGCCATGTTTATGTAGGTGCTGTACCTAAGGTCGGTTAAACATCTAATATTAGTTCTAAATCATCCAACTTGCATAGTTCAAGATATATTAAGACAGGCTTATATGTATAAGCACCCCACTCTATTATACAGACTGAAGTGACACCCCTCCTGTATATAATATGTCCTCCTTAACTATGTCTTAAAGTCTTATAGTATTCTAGGAGTCACTAGCATATTTAAATCATGCATATAGACTAACTACAGGCGTAAGGCTTCCTCCTAATACCCCTTAAGCAGTTATTAACTGGTTTGCGAGCTATATAAGGTTACCTGCCCTTTTTAACATGGTCATATAGGGTTGTGTAAGGAACGCCATGTGCACGCGCAATCTTAGTGATATTTAATTTTTCTTTGGCCTGAGCAGCTTCGTAGACCTTACAGAGGGAAGATTCATTAAATTTAGTAGATTTAGGCAAGTTGTGTGGTTGGAATAGCTTTAAGAAGTCAAAATATCAAAAATTAGTGATTATGGTGTGGTTGGTAATTACAGTGGTGCACCCATAATAGAAGCAGTGTGGGTAAACAGAGTCACAGATACATTTACACACGATGATGTCTAGCGATGTCTAGCAACTCTTGGGGTCGGTGCTATAAAGAGCCACTAAATTACTACAAAGGGCACATAATCTATCCATTTCGTCCGCTTCTAGCCGGCACAATAAGTGCTCCTGGATCTTAGCCACTCGCCATAAAACCACAACAGCACGGGAGCAACAGTCCCCAGCCCAAGGCTCACAAACCCTAACAAACTATTACCCCATCCTAGCCCCAGACTCTTATACAAACTATCTGCAAAGAGAGGGAAAGCAAACCCGGCCATTGTCCGCACAAATGCCGCTGCACCAGTCGCGCTGGCCGCGTATCGTGAATAGGCGTCGACGACATACGTTTGCGCACACTGGAAGGAGATGATCAATCCGAATGCGAATATTGCCGCCCCAATATTGGGCACTATCCAATGGAGCTTCTCTTGAGCTGACCATCCATAGATGAAAAGACCCAATGGGACTAAGAGGCCACCAGGCACCATCATTGGAACGCGAAATTCGGGTCGTCCATCGTGGTTGTAGTGCTCTTTAAGGCGCACGTATATCTTGGAGCAGATTCAGTACTTGCTTGGGACATATATTCGGGGAACGTACCTTGTCAAGGACACGGCCACAGAATTGTAGCCCTAGTACAAATCCGATACCGAGGGAGAGGTAGTTCAAGCTGGCTGTGCCGGTGTCTTCTCGGTATACCACCTCCCACACCATAGGAAATGATGCCAAACTGAATTCAATGAGCTGTCTGCAAATGCCTTTTCTTGAGACGGCCACTTACACAAGATACATAAGTCCATACTGGTAGCCGCGATACAAGGCGAGGGCCTGGATCGCCGGCTGTGTGAAAAGCATTCTGAAAGGCCGAATCAGATTCATCCGTAGCTCCTGGCTAACCGAGCGTTCGGGAGTATCATATTCAGTGTAAAGTTTATGGTTTCCGGTCTCTTTTTGTAGCTTTCTTCTTTTCTTCGCCAAGATAGCCGGCGCGTAGGTCTCACTCAGGAAGCAGAAGGCCAGAACTTGGACCACGGCGTCCGCGATGGAGACAATCCAGAAGATCCATCTCCACGACATATACTGGGTCAAATACCCACCAGCTAATCAGTCAATCTCAAGTTAGCATGATCATCTCCGTTGGGAATATGGCACGTATTTCTCTCACCAATTGGACCTACTGCCGGCCCTAAGAATGGCATCAAACTATAGAGGGCGGTTGCTGCTCCTCGTTCTTCCTTCCGCCAGCAGTCACTTAAGACACCACCTCCGATCTATGCGGACGTCAGCATATCGAGGTGATCATGGCAACTGAAATATCAACTGACTGCCTGTGGCGCACTCCCCCCGAAGCCACTGAGGAACCGAAAAGCAAACATCTGTGCCGGGGATGTGGCGAAGCCACAAACAATATTGAAGACGAGATAGAACATGTTTGTGGACTGCAAGACCACCACCCGCCCGTACATTTCAGAAAGAGGGGCAATAATGAAGGGACCAAGAGCGTAGGCAAGAAGAAAAATCGACATCATCAGGTACTGCTCTGTTTTCGACTCCACTTTGAGATCGAGGGCCATGGAGTCAAGTGCTGGCGCGACCATCGTAGAGGACACCGGCGATATGAACGTAAAACATGACACAAGAATAGTTGCGGTCCATTTCTTCGAACGGCTCCAGTTGAGAGGTTTGGATGGATCGTCAGGGCCTGACCAGGTGACCTATTTCCATCAGCGAATTGCTCAATGAGATCCTCCTCACAAAGCCTTACTAGATTAAGATTGTCAGGGGCCATCAGACCCGGCTCAGGATCTTGATCAGATAAAGAAGTTTTCGGTGACAGTGAGACGCGATTGTTCTTTTTCGACATGTTTGTCGGCGAAATGTGCCATATGGACTGGTTGGTTGAGGATAGTTTTGAGATGCAAAAGAAAGTTGTTGTGAAGTCAATTGGACTTAAAAAAAAGGCTCACAATAAGTGGCTAGCAACCGTATTATGCAGTGATCTCTGAAGATGTAGATCATCACCCATGATGATACTTCTCAGTGCGTGCCAAAAAAAGAAGAAAATAACCTTTTTGCCTAGACTGGGCATGCATGCGTAGACGATGGCTATGTATAGACGGATCCAGTCCGCTTCACTAACTGCAGAACAAGGCCTCTAGAACACTGTAATTTCCCTGAATAGGGTGCATACAGTATCACTGCTAGGTTGGCGGTACATTCAGGCAACACTCTAAATGTTCCGGTTGATGGCCGCCTAACATGGGCCACAACGTGATGAAGGAGGCGGTGCTCGGACTTACCTCGAATGATTCTTGGTCTATGCTGAGCCACAGAATGATCTGCATTCTTTAATCTCTCGACCCTGGTTAGCTTGGATGATCACCTCCATTTCCAGTTGGACGTGGGGTCTTGCCCTTCCTAACATGCGGGGCTCCACCTACTCAGTCTGAATGGGAAGTTGTCCTCGTGCCTGACCTTTCTTTGGATGAGAGATCTAGGGGGAAGTCAGAAGGCGCAGAATCCTGCCCTTTCGAATATGCAGCGTCAACGTCTGTAAGCCTTAGTACCAATGGTCTGAGAGGACTACTCATGACGAGAATACAGGTACATTGCAAGCTCGAATATTCTTCATGCTTCTTTGTTGACTTGCTGTTGGTCGTCTCCAAGTCTCGATTGTCGATCACTGCCACGACTACTTTGTAGGCATGCCAGCCAGATTTGCTCGGCCCACACATGAAAAGCTTCGACGTAGCTTGGCTTGTTCACCAGGCAACTAGGTATTCAATTTTAGAAACTCCATGTCGCCTTTTGTCGGTCATCGCTTGTCTCTGGAACACTTGGCGGAGTCTGTGAACCGGGAATATCGAGATATGCTTTTAGATATCCCTGTTGCCGTTTGCAGTGAGGGAACTTGGGGCCCAGGTAAATTTAGTAACAAAAAAGTAATGAACTGGGACGGATGAAGCAGCGGAAGACCTCGCGGACCTCAGGATGTGGTGCCCATATAAGAAGGATTGTAGTCTCACCGATGTCTAGCCATCTACCTAGTTGTCAAGCATCACCGACAGACAGCCTGCTTATTTTTACTGCATACATCTTCTTTCGCCTTTTCCAAGGCCAAAAGCTTTCGAACTTTCTACAAGCTATCTCCTCTATCCGTCCAAATGAGAGTCCTCGTCTGTCCTTCCGGCTTCAAAGGCAGTATCGATTCCCATGCTGCAGCAAACTGCATTGAGGAAGGCATCCTACGTGCTATACCAACTGCATCTATCCGAAAGGTTCCACTAGCTGATGGCGGCGAAGGATTTGCTCTCGCGTTAGTAGAAAGCGCAGGAGGTTATATTCGCAGTGCCACTGTCACTGGTCCAACTGGGAAGCTCATCCGCTCTTACTATGGGGTCCTTGGGGACGAGCAGAAAACCGCAGTGGTCGAGATTGCCGCTGCCGCTGGACTCAGTCTGGTGCCCCCAAACTGTCGAAACCCTTGCATCACAACTAGTTTTGGCGTCGGCCAACTGATTGCTGCTGCATTGGACGAAGGTGTGCGGCGTATCATCATTGGATGTGGAGACTCTGGAACAAGCGATGGCGGTGCAGGCATGCTTCAAGCACTCGGAGCACGACTGATTGACATCAATGGGAATGAACTTCCTCAGGCAGGTGGGGGAGCGAGCTTAGTCTCGCTTGCGGATATTGATTTTGCGGGCTTCGACCCGCGCCTGAAGAAGACTCGCATTGAGGTCGTCTGTAACTGGCAGAATGTCCTCTGTGGGCCATACGGCGTGGCTCGTGTCTATGCACCCCAGAAGGGTGCAACCCCCCAGCAAACAGAGATCTTGGCAACAGCTCTGGACATATATGCCTCTGTTGCTGAACGGAAGCTTGGACGAAGTGTCTCCAACGCCCCTGGTAGCGGTGCATCGGGAGGCATGGGGACAGGGTTCCTCCTCATTGGGGCAGAGCTACGCCCACGATATGAAGCCGTTATGCAGTATTTCAATATCGAGGGCTTGTTCGATGACTGTGATTTGGTTATTACTGCAGAAGGAGCAATTGATTACCAGACTCCGAGGGGAAAGATCCCGGCCGAGGTTGCAACAAGAGCTAGGAAATACAAGAAGCCCGTGATTGTGCTGGCTGGGTCGATAGGAGACAATGCGGATGCAAACTACGATGTTGGCATCAATGCATACACGTCTATCTTGCAGCGACCATCAACCTTGGACGAGGCTATAGATGAAGCAGAACGACTATTGATAGAGGGTGCAGAGGGAGCAATGCGGATGGTGATGGTGGGAAGAATGCTGAACAGCAGTCTTGCCTGGAAGACCAGATGATGTTGACGACTACAACGATGACGATAGACATGACCATTCTACTACCCACTTTCATGTGTGAGTTGCTATTGAGGAAGACACGAACGAAGAGTTCCATGTTCATATTGCCTGATTGACACTTTACTGCTAGATCAAGGCCCTTTTCAAACGCCTACGGTGGAGACCGTAGTATTGCACTTCATAGCGTGTATATATTTTATTGCAGCTCAATCCATCACAAGCTTTAAGAGGTCGTTGGTGTTTTCTAATTTCACTACACTCACTGGTTATTGTGATAGTCAAGAATGATTTTTAACCACCACCCATTCAAACCTATAAATATCGAATTGATATTTTAGATCTAGATTAGTATAATGATTGATACTATCTATTTCATATAGTTAAAATAATAATTTTACATAAGCATGTTTGACAGACCCCTAAGATAGGAGAAATTAAATTCTGAAAACCATTAAAATCAATCCTCTCAGGTTATATAAATCAAAACTAGACTGAACTGAACTAACTAACGGTGTCACCTCTTGCCTCCGACAGGTAGGCTGCCGGATTGAGGTTCTGCATCCACATAATGCCTGTGAAATGATAATAGTATGCCAGAGCGCAGGTGCAAGAATCTGTTGCATGTTGTGATAATGTCATTATGAAGACTCTTTATGATGACATCCAATTCATGATAACGTAGAGCGGCGAACGTACGATTCTGGATACCAGCAGAGGGTGTCTGATGCGAAGGAGATCACTTGATGGAGATACTTGTTGGCCAAAACTGTTTGTCTTAGATGCTGGTTTCCCCTGGGAGTGGGATCAAGGCTTTATTGACATTGGTGGTGGTGTTGGTGGTGGTGATGGGGTTGGTGGCTTGGTGGTGTCTCCCTGGATCTGTATAAACCACATTATTAGTATCCATGCTCACACACATGATGATCACCCAGGATGTCAAGATCTGGTTTTGTCTTTGATAGACTTACCTTCATGGCCGTAATGAGATTGAGAAGACCCTTCAGAGTAGAACAGTCCTTGCCTCTAACACAACCAGTGACATCACAGGTATTGCAGTTCTGTATTACCTTCATTGAGCAGTGATTGTGAAGACCCTATAATATTACTTACTAGTACATTGCCGGCCATGCTGGCCGCCACCTAGTCCGCACAACCATAAGTATATCAAGGGAAAATGGGAGTTATTAAGACATACAGGCTCACAGAGCGCGAGGCGCGCAACATTGTCAACAAAGGGTCAAGGTGTTACCCACTATAATACAATCGATAAAGGGGTCACATATGCATTGTGATCCAGGGCTCGTCTAAAGCAATTATAACTTTTGAGAGACGAAATGGACAAAATTACAAGGAAGATCGATTGAAAGAAATAGAAACCAGAAACAAACAAGGATACGGTGAGAGAATCACTGTGATCTGGAGCCAGGACGGAAGGTAGGGCTCAGAAGAGAAACCTGGCCAGATACCCAGTGTTCCTGTAACACGCACTGCGAACGGAGTGTTCTGACAGATGACCTGTAAGGTAGTTTAGGTAGCTTGATCTATACATTCTATCATGTAATTGACCACAGACGGAGGAAAGTCTGTCTTGATCCCCTGGTGAATGATAGGACCAGGATACCGAGTCTCCAGTGTATATCACCACCAATTCACAAGATTTGTGGGATCAGTATATTAATAGAGACTGAGGAATAAGCATCGCTCACAGTTTCTCAAGGCTTAGAAGAACCCGTGTATCATCTGCCACCTTGACTATGGATGAAATCCTGAGAATCATTGTCACCTCTCCCTGGCGAAGACAATATGAAGTGGCTTCCACTTGTCTAGTTAGCTGATTCTCTCAACGATGCAGTCTAATTTAGCCCTTGTTGAGTGTTTCTGCTTTCTTTAAACACTTCCTCCTACAGAGTCTCTACTCTGCTAGCTTTTTTTTTCATATTATGCAGGTTTTGAATGAAAGATTGTGGGTAAGCTGGTTTATATATAAATCGGCCATGACATTGGACAGTCATAAATCGCATGTCTTTCAAAAGCCTGGTGCTTGCTAGATTGAGCTACTCTTTTAGATGCAAAAACTAATGTAGAATCCACTTATCCCTCTGTATCCAAGCATTGATAGATAGTGCCAGGAGAAAAAGTTTATCACTGAGGCTACTCCCAAGGTACTCACTGACGATCAAATACAGCCCGTATGCAGAACTCCAAACGCTCCAGGCCCATGTACACTCCGCAGACAGTTTCAAGAAACCAAAATGGCAGCAACCCAAGTCACCGGAAAATGGACCAAGATCCTTGACGCAGAGATTCTCCAACGGTCATCCCAGGTACTCGCTGTGGTTGACAACGTGGCCCACGTTTTCGGAGGAGAGCTTCGACCCCGCGAACCCCGCGATAACGACGTCCATACCATCGCCCTGAATAGCACAAGTAAGATAATAGCATCTGTAAAACAATAGATAAACGGACGCTGACAACTGCACAGACTCAACATCAGCCATCGCCAAACCGTCAACATCGCAGGTCCCCTCCCCGCGCGTAGGATCCGCGTCCACAACCCTCGACAAGAAGGTCTACCTCTTCTCCGGCCGCGGCGGGCTCGCCATGTCCCCCATCGACGAAGCCGGGGCAGTCTGGGAATTCACCCCCCAGACCTCATCCTGGAGACTCATCACGCCCACTTCGGAAATCCACCCCCCACCGCGCAGCTACCACTGCATGACGAGCGACGGCACCGACACGCTCTACCTGCACGCAGGCTGCCCGGAAACCGGCCGTCTCTCCGACCTCTGGGCCTTCCGTCTGTCTACCAGGGAATGGACTCCGCTGGCGGCTGCCCCAGACCCTCCGCGCGGGGGTACCTCGATTGCGTTTGCGGCCGGGGCGCTGTACCGGATGAATGGATTCGATGGGAAGATGGAGCAAGGCGGGAGTGTGGACGTGTATTTTCCCGGTGAGAACGTGTGGTCGTCTTATGAGTTTGTGGCGGATGGGGTGAGTGGGCCTGAGGCCCGGAGTGTCAGCGCGCTGCTTCCTGTTCGGACTGGGGAGAGGGTCGCGCTGGTGACGCTTTTTGGGGAGAGGGATCCCAGCGCGTTGGGCCACCAGGGGGCGGGGAAGATGCTGGATGATGTGTGGGTGTTTGATGTGGAGGAGCGGTCTTGGAGGAGGGTAGATGCGCAGGGCGAGGCGCCGTGTGCTCGTGGGTGGTTTGCTGCTGATGTGCTCGGTGAGAATGCGATTGTTGTGCAGGGAGGGTTGGATGAGTCGAACGGGAGGCTGGGAGATGTTTGGATTCTCTCGTTCTAGCATGTGTACAATTACCGAATGTTGTACTTAGGATCAGGTTCCCCGCGACACCCGTACAGTTGATGCGATAGGACTGATTGAGTCTAGTATCATTTGATTTAGGAATACACGTGAATAAGATACAACCATATGCACAAGCTCACATAGAATCAATCATTCGGATATTGCACTTCTTGAATTACTCCCATCGCAGACCCTCTGGAGTCTGCACTGTTCGTCTAGCCAAAACCTCTGCAACCTTCTCTCTGACTCCCTCCTTGTGACCCCACTTCTCCACGAAATCGGCCACTGTCTTGCTGGCGGATTCTGAGCTGTCGCGGACAAATTTCTCAATCTCCGCCTCGCTGGGAAGGCCGTAGGCGTGAGGGTATTGCTTGTAGTCGGTCTTGTTGAAGAGTGCGAGCCGGGACTCGCCCTTGGGAAGCTTGAAGAAGGCATCCACAGCATCGCTGGTAACTTCCTCCAGGGTAGCGGGCTGCCATGTAGCCTGGCGAGGGGGCTTCGACATCAGACGGGCCTTGACGCCCTCAACGAAGTCGGGGTGTTTCATGAACTGAGCCGCAATCTGGTACTCCCGCTGGAAGGTCTCGGAAATGGACCATTGCTTGCCCACGCGCATCTGCCGCAGAGTCACCTTGAGCGATGTGGGCGAGCGAGAAGACAGAGTCTCCAATGTCTTCTGAGCCCACTCCTTCTGCACGGTCTCCTGCTCGAGAGCCCGGAAGATCTCCTCAACGGTCTTGTGCTTGAAGCAGCGATCGATGGCGGTCCGCAGGCTACCGGCAAGGTGAATAGGCTCCTGTTCCACTGGCGGAAGGCCGACAGAGAACTCGGCCATGGTCTTGTTGACCAGGTCCAAGCGCTCGGCAAGCGACGCGTGGTCCCTAAAGACCAGCTCCGCCAGACGAGCTGTCAAGTTGCTCAAAACACTAGAGTGAAAGTAGTGTGTCGCAACACCGGCGTAGAGCGCCTGCACGCCGTTGAGGCGCTCCGAGGTGAGTGCCAGATACGTGCCAATCTCGCCGTCGAGACGGGGAAGGAAGAACGAGCCACCAACGTCCGGGAAGAATCCGATGGTAGTTTCCGGCATGGCGAACACAGTACGCTCAGTCGCAATGCGGAAGGGGGCATGAACACTGAGCCCGACGCCGCCGCCCATCGTGATTCCATCCATCACCGAGATGAATGGCTTTGTGTACGTAGCGATAATGTGGTCCAGACGGTATTCGAGGCCGAAGAAATCGGTCGACTTTTGTTGTCCCTCCGGCCCTTGTTCGTTCTGTAGAGCCAAAGAAGCGACGTCACCTCCTGCGCAGAGAGCTTTTGTGCCAGCACCGGAAAGCATGACAATGTTCGCGAGCTGGGATTTTTCCCATTCCTATTCCACCGGCTTAGCAACCAAGACATTATCACGAACTGCAGAATCCGAGTCGCTACCTTCAACCGAGGGAGAATCTTCCGTGCCATTGACCCGTTCAACGAATTGAGCTTCTTGGGACGATTGAGCTCAATCAATCGTACACCGTAGAGGGAGCTGAATAGGACATCGTCGGGCTCGTCTCCGGGGAGTTCTTTGGGGAGTTCGGGGGCAGTCGACATCTATACACCAAATTTAGAACCATACATCTCGAACAGACTCAAGCTATAAAGCATACCTTCGCAGCAGCCCCGAATACTGGATTCGTCACTTTGGCGCGGAGAGGCATTGGTGGTGAAACCCGCGAGATCCAGCTCGCCGGCGTTGGTAAGCGGCAGAAACTGCGTCGAAGTAACATCTAGGCAGACGACAGTCCGTCGTTGAGGAGAAAGCGACAATGAATGAAAATGGAGAAAGTTAGTGCTTATGACTCGGGAAAGAAAGTCGTTTCTCCGCTTTGGATGGACGCTTGACCTCGGAGTTTTTCGCGCTGATTGATTTTCCTCCGCCGGCAGCTTGGACAAGATGGACGGTTGTGCTGCCGAGCACATCCCCAATTCCGCGGTTACGAGCGGTTCGACAACGGAATTAGCTGCGCAACGGGAGTTTGAACATTCAATTGAGTAATGTATCTGCTTGATAGCGCTTGACCAGGAATTAAGAGAATTGATCGTAAATCTTGAGTAGACACACTAGCAGGTTGACATGGAACCCAGATAGAAACCTCAGTCACAATTACTGTTGATGGCGATGGCTCAAAGATACTCATATCATGTTCAATCTATTTATACACAAGGATACCATTGTTTTAATACAATCAAAACCGTAGATAGCCGAAAGCCAAACTTATTGCACTAATACACAGCCGTGGCAGGCTTGTTGACCAAGTCCCTTGAATGCTGAGACAGAATGCGGTCCAGCGCCTGCTTTTCAATGACCAGTCTTCCTGTCTCCAGGAGATCCTTGACGTCCACATCCTTGCGGTTCAGGATCTTTGCGTGCTCTCCCACCTCACGTACCGTCTCAAACAAGCCTTCATTCAGCTGGTCTGTGATTAATGTTGAGCGTCCAAATTCGCGGCCCCAGCAGTTGACCTTGAAGATCTCCTTGATAAGGTGCGGTGTGGCACCCTCGGGAATCGAAATTTCGTTGTCGATGATAATCAGCTGGCCTCGCTTGTACCGGTAACTCAGGGCTATCCGCCAAGCCTGGTCGTAGATCTTCTGGGGGAGACTTGTAGCAAAGTCGCGAGGGTGAGGACCAAAAGCGACACCTCCTCCTCGTCGAATTGGGGACTTTTTGTCGCCAACACGCGCCCGACCGGTGCCCTTTTGCGCGTAGAGCTTTCTACCGCTGCCATGAACGTCGTCTCTCCACTTTGTGCTTGCTGTACCTTGCCGGGTCATGTCACCTTCGTAAACGACAGCTCGGTGAAGAATGTCTTTTCGTAGAGGCATCAAAAGATGGCTTCGAGGATATTCGACGATACGCAAGGGCTCCATTGACGGAAATGAGTAGGTGGTGGCTTTGGCGGGTGTGTCCCATGCGGGCCGGGGACCGGTCGAAGACTCTCTTGTCAGGAAATCGGTCGTAGGCTTGACCTCTGTTGCCATTGATCTCGAAAGAGGTGTTGCCAGGCATCGCTTCTAAAAGTAAGGACGTATGTCAGTATGCGAATTGTTAAATGCTCCCTGCGATTCAATAAGGGAAAAGTCATACCGTTATGGCTTCAGCGCCCGTCAACAGGCCACTTGAGCTTCGCGAAAGCCATCTGAGAGCGATAAGAGCGTCAGTTCCAGGCATTTTGCTGTTTGATGCCCTATATTGCTGTGTTATCGAACCAGGGCAGGGGAAGCAAAAGTTCAATCCGGGGGTTTGCGGCGGTCCGCGCTAGTTGGGTGAGGCTTGGCTGTGCCGGACTGAAAAAAAGAGTTCCGTCCGACCCTCGACCACCTTTGCCCCGACAACAAGATCACCACCTTTCCTCCACCGCATCCATCAAATAATTCCGCCAACAATGGCTCCTTGTGAGCGGGCCTCGAGGCCTTTGATTCAATGCATTCAGAAAACCTATACTAGAGGTTTGCCCGGCCTCCAGCTGCAGTCGACGCGGACCTTTCAGTCGACCGCTCTGGCTCGCGAGGACGCCCAGAGCGAGACCCAAAGCCAACCCTTCTACAAAAACCCGGATCCAGCTCTCGTGACAAGTCCGCGATTGGAAAGGAAACTGCTGAAGCAAGGCGTTGCGCCCATTGGATCCCGCCGTCGTCGAGCGGCACTGCAGAGCTCCGCCAACATCCCCTTTGAGCAACTGCCCTATCAATGCTTCCAAGAAGCCCGGAAGGTATTACTCGCAGATCGCGAGGAGAAGATCAAGAAGATTGCGGCCATGCGGGAGAAAATCGCGAGACTCCAGGCTATCCCTACGGAAGAGGCCGGCGGCGAGCAAGTGCAGAAGTCGAAATTGCGGGCAATGGAACTGGAGCTTGAGCATCTCAAGATCCATGCCGATATCAATGATCCTATCGTTAAGAAGAAATTCGAAGATGGGCAAGGTACGAGTGAGTTAAGAAGGAATACCATTCTCTCTCAAGTAGCCATGTGCAACTAACCTTGAATTGCGTCCTAGGCGACATGACCAAGCCTATTTACCGCTTCCTGGCCGATCGGAAGTGGAGAGAGTACCGTCGCAAGATCTTGGTGCAGAGAATTACCCAAATGAAGGTCATCCCGGATGTTCTGCCTCACTGCGACCCTGTTGTGGATACCAAACTCTATTTCGGTAGACATACGATCCAACCCGGAGAGTTCGTCAACTCTAGGGTCAGCTCGACGGCCCCCAAGCTCGATGTACAGCTATTTGAGGCTGGTGAGAAGCTCGTGACGATTGCCGTTGTCGACTCGGATGTCCCCAATGTCGAGAAGGACGGATTCGACTACAAGATGCACTACCTTGCTGTGAACGTGCCCATCTCCGCTACTTCCACCAAGGTTGATCTTGCCAACCTGTCAACAGATTCGCAGGTCGTTCTTCCCTGGCTGCCCCCGGTCGCTCAGAAGGGCAGCCCCTACCACCGACTCTCCATCTTCATCATGGAGCAAAAGGATTCGGCTCCTTTGAACTTTTCTCTGGTCAAGGGCATGGAGACGAGCCGTGACGTCCTTCTTCGGACACTGCAGGCCAGATATCACCTCAAGGCCATTGGGGCGCACCTATTCAGAACCCAATGGGACGAGAACATGCTGGAAGTCATGAGAGAGATTGGCTTCCCTGATGCCGAGATAGAACTGCGCCGGAAGAGAGTTGAGCCTCTGCCTTATAAGAGGAGGAATCCTTCCACCTTCCGGTGATCTGCTTATGTATCCTTTTGCGCTTCCTTTCTGTCCGTTACAGCTTTCAGGTGATAGATCTGTATTGTACAACCGACATGTATGAATATGTACACAAGTTTGACCAACTCCGAACTCCCAAACTCTGCTCCAACTATGCGCCGCAAAGCAAATCCTTTAGTGACTGTGGTAACCGGTCTATTCCTCGTCCAACTGAGCCGGCTGCAGTGTATTCTCCACCCATTGCATCTTCGACGGCGGCCAAACACGAGCGATAATTTTCCCATTGATCAATCCCATAGGAATAGGTCCATAATTCCTCGAATCTCTCGACCAGGGCAGGTTGTCCCCGCCGAGATACACATGGCCTTCGGGTACCTAAGCACAGCATCCAATTAGCAAACTCCCAGTCACCAGAACACCACCCGCATCAAATCCCTACCTGTATCATCTCCCGGCTCGTGCCCACCTCCGTACTGAACGGCAGATCCCTGCAGACAAAATCGCCCGGCATCCCCAACACTCTCTTCGCACCATTGACGCCCAGGAACGTCGGATGGTAGAACCGAACCACATCCCCTACTTCAATCCCCCGCCCGTACTTGTGCACCCGCGATATCATCAGGTAATCGCCCCGCGGATTGAACGTCGGGTACATCGAGGGTCCTTCGCTGAGCTGCACGGTGATCAGGTGCTCCCAGACCAGCGTGCAGGCGCAGAATAGGCCCAGGCCGTCGAGGGTGAGGCAGAAGACGGCGCCGGGGGTTGCGCTTCTCAGCGCGGAGCGGAATATTCGTTCCATTTGGTGTGGTCAGAGCATTTCTGGATTGTCTGGGTGTCTTGTTCTGGTGAGCTGAATGGAGCTAGACTATGTTACTACTGCTTGTAGGCGGAGAGGCGGCACGGCCGAGAAGAAGTCACGTGCTAGGGTCTTCGTTTAAAAATTCTTCGCACTTGCGGCTTCATTCTACTTTTGTTTCCTCTCTTCGGGTGCGAGAAGCTGAGGCTTATTATTTCCCCTACCATCATGTCTGGTATGGATTGGCTCAGCTGATCTTCGCTTTACAGTCTTGATGATTTCCATCTTCGAGGATTCATGTTGCGTAATGGACGCGTTCAATGTGTTTTCGATTGTGCAAGGATCTCAGCTGCCAATTGCAATCGACGACAATCCGGTAATCCGATTATATCGGGAATCTCCAACAAGCACAGTTACTAGTCTCTATTCCTATCAACACAGCTTCTAAATTGCTAGAGCTCGCCGTTTCCGAAATACAACACCAGGACGCGCGAGTGTGGACAGAGAAGCAAGATGAACATTATACGTCTCGACTGACCACAAAGTGGCGAGATATCCCCGAACGCTGTCTTAGCTTTGACCCCATTTAACTATGGGACTGGGATGCTGGATGGCGTGGGTGGGAGACAATTAGATATGAGATAGTGTTTGTGGTAATGATATTTTTTCGGCCTTTCGTTCCCCTTCTCCGTCGTATGATGAGACCCATGCTCTTGATAGTACTAGGGAATCCATTCTCAAAATGCTCCAGGGAGAATTTGCTGCGTGGCCGTAGATGCCTGAAGGTTCTCAGGATATCCTGCTCGGTAACCAACCATGCACGCCCAAGTCACCATACTGCACATGTATCATCTCTCATCCAGTCGTATCTCTCGGTGACCCAGCTTGGTCTTACCTATTCTACACCATGGTGTCGGCATCTGTGACAGTCGTCAGCAAGGTCACAGCTTCTCCAACATGCCCCAAAATACATACCAGGACTCAGGTTGGGCGACTCGATATCCTTCCTCTTCTCCGTCTTAGCCTTATAATCAACCCCAAACGCCTCGTCCCTCCCCGCAAGTAACCCATCGAGACCCTTCGGATGAGCGAGCTTGACTTTGTCTTCAGATGTGAAGCTGGCCATGAGCTGTGGAGCTCCCAAGGGAAGTGGATCGCCCCTGTCCACCTGCCAAAAATGATACGTTTTTCCGTACAGCGGAATGACGTCCCTCATCTCTGATGTTTCCGCTGCTTCCCAGGCAGGCTTCGGCACTCCAGCGGGAGCAGGCATAATCAGCATGCCGCTTTTGACCTCAAACTCATGGGTGTGCCATAATTTGCGTTCCTCGGACGGGAGGGTCTCAAATAAGCGCGGCGAAATCATATACTCAACGCCGATCAAACGGGCATTAGGCTTGGTAGAATCGTATATCAGACACTGCCTGAGGTCTGCGTTTCAGATCAGCCGTCTTTTCTTGCAGAAGGAAGGGAGTTACCAAGACCTTCTGTAACATGTGTACAATAATGGTTCGCTTCCACGGCTCTCGTCGGATCCGACGCATAAATGTGGAATGCATTTAGATGAGCGCAGATCTGTTTGACAGGCGTAAAATCTTGGACCATGCTGGCGCCGCCTTCCAGGACACGGCTTTTGGTGCTGAGGGCCGAGCCGGGGATCCCATCTTGGTCTCTGGGAATGTGTTGATGACAAGACATGGTTGTGCGATACAATTTTGCAATTGCAAAGATTGAGCTGGGAGATATGATTGTAGAACGAAGATTGTTGTCCCAATTTAACGACAGCTCGCCTATTGCTTCGGATGTGTATTCCGTTGAAAACAGGAGTTTCGTCCATAGTTGACGTCATGATGATTGCGGATCAAGACCACACTTGTGATATTCCCAACTTCACCACTGAAGAGAAACGATAAACCTCTGGAATTTCGCGTTGCCAACAGACACATAGCCGTTCTCTTGACATGGATCCATCAACACTACCTACTTCTGTGCGGAGATCACGAAGCTAAAGGTAGTCGATCTACCTGAGAGTACCTGACTGCCCGGACGCAGCTATAACCAATCAAATGTCATATCGGGCCTCTGCAACAGCCTTACTGACTGAGAAATCCAATTGGTCTCGGCGTTGATATTGTCATAATAAAGGGGCCCATCTTCTGCTAGCCGAGCCGCGAGATCCGAGGTGGCATTCCAGAGCTCATCGCTGTCAGGCAGTGAAAACCGCAAGTCTGCCAGGGTGAGAAGACTTCTCCCTCTCTGGTTCCCGTGAAGATTACGCGGGCCGTTTTTGCATTGAATATGACACGACCTGCAAACTTTGTAAAGGGCGAGTGCAAACCGCTTGACTTCCTCGATGCCAACCCAGATGAAGACATCCGGGACGGAGTCGCGGCTGAACCGGGCTAAGATCTCTGGGTAAAAGAACATGTTTTTGCGAACGCAAGTGTCAGTCAGTGTCGTTAATAGACGAGAGCAGCAGCTCGTAGGGATGGTTCGGGCGAGTCGAATATCAACCTGACTATGAGTGTCTTTGAGGAAGGCGAAAATGATCTGAAGAAGGATGGCCTGGTATGTTGCCATGGGCCAGGGGCTTTGGACTTCGGACTCTGAGTTCGTGGCTGCCCAGTTGTCCTTCACATTGACGTCAGCTGGTAGGACTCGAAGACAATGACTTCGAGGATACTTCGTTGGATAATCAACGGGAAGCCAGGCGAGTTACTCACTCGCTGTTCGTAAACTAAGGAACTAAGCTTGTCATGCAGTTTGACTGCATGACACTGCATCTCCACGTTCCCAGTCGTCCACAGTCCCATCATGACAACAGATTGCAAAAGAATCGGGGGCTCCTGACTAGGTTCGAATGTCGCTCTGTGCAGAAACGGCCAGACTGGGTGAAATTCCTTAAAATATATCTCAACATACTGCAGTACATTGGGCCCCTTCCATGGAGGCGTACAGTCCATGCGGTCTTCAGCAGTCGAGCGCTTTTCCTGGTCATACTGCTCATCTTGAAGTTCGTTGACGATGCAGTCCACACGCATGGTTCCTGCGTTCTGCGGATTCCCCTGACGTGACAAGGAGCATTGGAGACCTCTCCCTGAACATGATTCGCAAGGGGCCGTACCATCGCACCGGGTCTTCCTCGAGCGACAGTAGCTACACGCTATGACCGTGCGACTAGATTCCAACTCCTTATCCTTATGAAGGGCCCGAACATGTTGACGTAAAGTGTCACTGTATATCAAAATAGAGTCAGTTTCACTGCCGTTGTGAGAGAGGTGCTGCGGATGAGCTTACGTCCTGGAGAAGACTTTATCACAAAACGGACACTCGCATGCTGGCGCTTGACTGTGGCTCGCAGAGTGCCGAGTGAGGTGTTCTTTGCGCCTGTAGCTTCGACTACATTCGCGCTGGGGACAGCGAAATGGGCCTTCGTTGACGCTGGCAGCGGTCTTCATGGTAGTAGATCTGGTTTGGACTGCGCTGCGGGGGCCATTGCGTGCCATGTGCTGGCTGTATACTTCTTGATAACTGGTAGAAATTAGTCAAGGTTAGAGTGAATCCAATGAAGTCCATGAAAAAATAATTGGAGTCGTTCACATCAGGGTAGATGGCAGGTGGGATGCCGAATATGGGATACCGATGGATGAAATGGAGATGAAGTTAGGGGAGCGACGAAAGGCACTATTCCGTTTCCTACATGACTACCATGACTCCCCTGCACAAGGTTTACAGTATCATTTAACGAAAAGGATTCTCATCATGGAATTCATCAATAAGTTTTTGAATCCCATCTTTCACAAAGGCGAGTACGAGTATAGTAATATTTACGCAGAGTTCAAACAATGTATCAGATGGTTGTATTCAAAGCTATTTCCTATATCACTTGTTCACATAGCATTCTTCATCTCTCTCAAAGCTGCCATCACCTCCACCGGATCTGTCTTTCCGGTCTTCTTCTGGATTTCAGGATCCTATGAACGGTCAGACAAAAAGTATAAATAGAGTATGAATCGTTGAATCTTCTTACATTGACTCTCATGAACACGTTGTGCAGCTATACAACCTCGTCAGCTGGAGCGATCAAACGGCGATGGATTCCATACCTTCTCGTCTCCGATAGTAAACTTTCCCTGGGTCTGTTGATGCTGATTTGCGTATGCTTCTAACTTCTTAATCGGTTCTGATTGAGATACAGCAAGACAGAACTTGACGTTGCTCTTGGTGTACTCATGGCCGGGCTATACGAATCAGTCTCTGCATCAATGAGAAGCGGACTCTTAGCGGCTTACGTAGACTTTGGTGTCATCAGGTAGCGAGGCGAGAGTCTCGTTCAACGCCTTGTGCATCTCTTGAGCATTTCCCTCGAAAAAGCGACCACATCCTGCCATTGTGAGATCCATTCGAATACACCAGGAAATGGAAGTCTCACCTGCAATGAATAAGGTGTCACCTGTAAACACCACCTTTTCGTCCCCGTCCTGCATATAATAGCAGATACTATCCTGAGTATGGCAGGGGGTGTGCAGTGCTTTGACGGAGATGCGCTCGCCAATCTTAAATGTCTCCCCATGTGCAGGAGTCTGTGTGACTGATTGGCAGTTCTTTCCTCCAATGACCGGGAGTTTACCAAAATGTTTCAGCTGTATGTGTTAGTCAGAAAAGCTCATAAAATAGCTAGCTAGCTCACCATCTCATCGTTGCCGCCAGCATGATCCCAGTGACTGGAAGCGCACGTTAATACTGGTCTCCCTTATCGACTGGATGCCGAGACATACTGATGCGTGTTGACAATGGCTGAGAGTTTGATTTTTCCGGCCTTGATCTGAGCATCAAGCTCTGGAGCCACTCTAGCAGAAAATCAGAGATGATTCCACAAGCCACTTTGACGAACAACATACTCTGGCGGATTAGCCGGGTCGATGATGACAGACTCTTTTGTCGGCTCATCCGTCACAAGGTAGGCATAGTTATTGCCCTTCCCCGTCCCTGTACAATGGTGTGAGCGTCAAATTCGCTCGGGCAACCAACACTGAATCAATCAAGATTCAAGACTGCACACAAGGCACTGTGTACATTCAACTTACACATAGGAATTGACTGCACATGCATGGTTCTGACGTGATGTGCCCTTAAGTATCGAGATCCACAGTACGGTCTAATCGCTCTGAAGAAGTTCATTGACGAAACTGATAGAGAGAGAAAATGCGGGGTGATACTGAGATCATTTACTAATAGGCGGCATCTCGATGGATGAAGACTATTCGGAGCATTACCTCATAGTAGCTCCGGGTCATGTGGTTGGCGCTAAGCCGTATTTGGAAAATTATATACATCGCTCAATTGGCTTCCCTACGACTTGCACAAAATGACATTGATATAAAGGGTATTCCTTGATCTGGGTCATGCGAATGACCATCTCCTTTGATGTGGGTGAGTCGTGCGAGACGGAGATGATGGGTTATAGACAGTCGCTCACTTCGCTCCATTGCTGCAGTCAAACTATCCCTATTGGCCTGGTATCCCAAGTGTCTAATCTTTCCCACCCGAAATTCTGCAGCCCTTGTAAATCATCTTCGGTGTGCTGGGCATGTGTCGTACTTTCGGATCTCTTCTGTGATCGAGGTGGAGCGTTGCTCTGATCTCTAGCAATAGGAGGCAAGCGATTATCCTCCGAGCGAACAGCGCCTCTGAGCAGATCTAGCCAGTGATTCGAATTTTGTTCACAGACACTGAGAATGTATCCGAGAGAAAGAGATTGCCGAGCTGTACTCCACTCTGCTGAGTTCAAAATGTGGTCCAGCCACATATAAATCGCCTCGCACTGGGGATCATTCTTCGTATTCCGTCGTCTCGTGAATGCCAGTTCATTGACCAATTCCTCGGTCAGAGCTGGTAAAAATGTAGGGTGACCTGCCGCTACACTCTGTAGTGATCTGTCCCACTTGGTGAATGCTTCATCCATGGAATCGCCAAGTCTTGTAAAGATATGTAAGCTAGGGATAGTCACTAACGTTGCATATCACGGCAGACTTACCTTCGTCCCTTCGGTACAATTATTGAATCCTCAATGAGGACTCGAGAAAGTGAGTGAGGACTCCTGCTAGACGCCTTACATATCGCTACCAGCTGCGCCGCAAGGAAAGACGATTGCTGATCTGACTTCCTCTTCTTCCGTGGTGGCTCTGAAAGGTCGCCCTGGCTCGCTGGATGCTCGAGGGCGGTTCTGACGACGCTCCTAATTTTTTCTACATTGCCATCGTCGGCACCGTGAGAGACTGCAGAGGCAGGCCTTCCTGATACAAGCGCAACATCAGAGTCTGTCTTGGCCCAGTAATAGTCCCAGAGCCACTCTAATGAGCGTTGCGTCGCATTGCGCAATACCACAAGAGACGGTAGCTCTCTATGGGTCGCCTCGTGACGCAGCTCAACAAACGATGCCGGAAGCCCGAGGTCAATCGCTCGTTGAAACATGGTCTTCCTCTGGCCATGGAGTTTCGAGTCAACGAGACCCGTTACGAATCTGATAGATTGCGTTAGAGATGCCTTTTGCATCACAAATGAATAAAAAGGGACTCACCGACAAAAAGCAGCCGAGTAGGTGGCTCGAATCGAGAATATGGAATTTTTCTGCGCATCGTCGTGAAGAATCGCGTCCGTTAATAAGGCGGTAGCCTCAACCGGATGTGGGAGGTTGCCACGGAGCTTCCAGACTCCGACCTTGGGGGCGTTAATCATGATATTCAAGCGTAATGTCGAAACTACGTACCGTAGCGCAGGCATTTGAGCGCAAATCTGGCCCATCATAGGCGGGCGGAGGGTAGAATTGATTCCGGACAGTGAGTAACTGGGAATGATCCTTCCACGGTGTAAAGAATACTTTTGCCATTTTGCTCCCTGGATCTTTCAGTGAAGAAGTATCCGTAATACCCTCGTGAGTCTTGTTCTATTGTTTGTCCACTGTATCTGATCGACGGAGAATTTTATATCGGGGAATTGTTTTTCCCTCCGAGTGTGCCCAGACTTGTGCCTTAATCCATCAACAGTCCAACTACAGTACTCCGTCCATTCTACGAAATGTCAACAGTTGCCCTAGCATTTGGGAAGAATCCAATAGCTGAGGTATTCTTAGGAGATTGTTGCTCTCATGTTAACCCAACAGATTCTATGTTAGCCATGAATCCCAACGAAGACTCAACACAAGAACCATTTTGAGGCAACGCCAGAAGCTAAATAATTCTTTTAAACGACGACTCTGATGCTGTGAATGAATGAGCTGATATCTTTCGGGTGGAAAGATGATGTCCTACAGAGAATGTGTTGTTTTTGTTCTCGCCAGGCTTTAACGTTGATTCCGCGGCCGCTTCAAGAATCAGACCATCTGACTTGGGTTTTTCAATTTCCTGAATGTCTTGACGCTGTGTCCACAGCCTCAGGCGTCCCTGAGAACTGGTATCTTCGTCTGTCAGGCTACCTTACTGTCAATCTTACCTCATAGAAATGGAGACCTTATTCGAAACCGGCGATGGCATTTAGTGGCTCCGACACGTGGTGGAGGATCTCCTCAAGATGATGCAGGAAGCATTTGAGAATGCGAGAAGCATAATCTTCGGACGCGCTTGATGCCCAGTAGCGGAGCTCGACGTCAATCTGGGATGGTGAGAGGAGAACAGCCACACAACAGTCATACTGTTGAGCTCAGATTAGACGCTCTATAACTCTTACCAAGGATAATGTCGACAAGTGTACTCACCTCCGTCGCATCCTCCAACTCGACGAGTTTCATGGCAACCTCGTCGCCGTTAATTTTGTCTCTCGAAGATCCTACCCCAAATACATTTTGCACGGTCAAGACTGTATTAAACAGCTGCTGCAGCCCAGCGACCCCTACTATCCCAGCCTGGCGGACAGCTGCTGGCATAGAGCAGTGCTGGTGCTCATTCCGACGTTGCATCTCCTTCTGGTTTTGTCTCAGAGTATCAAGCACTGTGCTCGCGTGCTCAAGGATAAACCGGCAGGGAACGACATTAAAAAAGGTGCCGACCATCTGCCAGATGGCAGGTAAGGGAATGTCCCGGCCTGAGATAACCGTTCCAAAGCAGACGTCGCGGGACTTTGTGTAATGCTGAAGGGTCAAGGCCCATGCCAGCTGGAATATGTTGGTGAGAGTGACATGGTTGGATCGCCAGAAGGAGGTGAGCCGATCGAACTGCTCGACTCGCAAACTGCGACGCAGGGACCGAGCCTTGCATGGACGGGATCTGCATGGCGGAGGCAATTCAGATGGGACTCTGGGAAGGTTACATGGCCGAGTTTCGGACAGCGTTTGTTTCCAGAACTGTAGCGCCTCTTCGCGCGACTGGCCACGTAGGTAAGTCAGATATTGGCGGTACGGGGTCTCTTTGCTAGCAGAGAAACGGCCGTGGAGCGCGAGACAGAAACGTTCTAGCAGAATCGCCATGGATATGGCGTCGATGAGCGCACGACCCGTATCCAGCCTTAATATGACCGTTCCATCGTCCTCTTGGCCAACAGCCAAGCGGTGAGGTGGTGTGGCTTTCCAGGACGACACGGGCTCCAACTTCTCAACTTCTTGACGCACATTCTGGCTTCGGGGAAGGATCACGACATCTGCCGGTACCTGTTTAAGGACGACATGGAGATATCCCACATGCAGATTAGGAACATGCAGCACCATTGTCCGTAAGGCGGCATGGTGCTGCACCAATCGATTCCATGTAGCAACCACCTGCGATAGGGTGACTGCCTTGCGTGTGCGAATTTCAAAGATGGCAGTGCTTGAGTAGTTGGGTGTGTAGAGTTCGAGCACCCCGGCGTGCGCATCAGAGCAGGAGTATACGTCCTCGATATCGTTGATATTTGCCACGTTCAGTAGGGACTGAATCAACTGCATCTCCGCTTCCGGGAATTCAGCCAGGGGACCATCTGCCTTGGAAGTGGTATCTCGCGGAGCAGAGGCTTCATGAGATTGCTTCTTCAAAGGAGCCACGGATTCATCATGGGTCGAGCAAGCATGTTCACAGAACAGAGACACCGTGTTGTAAGAGAGAAAGTCCAGCATGGAGAGAGCCAAATTACCTTTTCGACACAAAGTGAGCAGTTGCATGGCGGAAATAGAATCACCTCCCAGAGCAAAAAAGTCATCGTCCACTCCAATGGACTCCTCGTCTAATGAAAGGACCTTGGCGAAATTGGCTCGCACAAAACGTTCCTGCTCGGTAATCGGTTGCTTTTTGTGCGATGCTGCATGGCCGAGATACTCCGTCACTATCTCTCTCGTCAGATTCCCTGCTTCCTCTCGCAGTTTCTTGCGGTCTGCTTTGCCACTAGGACTGAGCGGGAGACGTGACAGAGGGATAAGCAGCGAGGGTACCATGAATGACGGAAGGTGCTGGCTCAGGTGCGTTTTGAGGCCTTGTAATTGGGACCGAATCTCGCTTGACGGCGGAAGAAAGAGCTCTTGACGTTCATGGTTGGGGAAGCGAACGCTTGTGGTGTCCGCTTGCTTAGGGTTATAGACGAACAGGACCAATCTGGGTTCTGCGATCTCTCGGAGCGTGACAAGCCCGGCGATAGCTGCGGTTTGTTGCTCGTATTGCTCGGCACAATGCTCAACTTCGCGTAGCTCGATACGTTGCCCATGCAGCTTGATCTGCGCGTCTTTTCGACCGACCAAACTCAGACTCCCGTCGGGTCGAAAGACAGCCAGATCCCCTGTCTTGTAGAACCGATGTCCCTGCAGAAAGGGGAATTTCACACACCAGGATGGATTGCGAATAAAAGCTGCCTCGGTTTCTGCAGTTCTTTTCTTGTACCCTCTGCCGACAATGGGTCCGCCGATGAGAAGCTCTCCCACTGAACCCACGGGCTGGAGCTGATGGTGGTTGTGGGGATTCACAATCCAGCACGATGCGTTAGGGCAAGATCCAACATTACTGGGGTCAGTATTCGGGGACAAAGGTCCCGTGGTAGTTGTGTACATGGTGCATTCTGCAGGGCCGTATGATTGATGCAGCCGCACCTGGGACGCCCACGTAGCCAAGTCAGTCGCCGAAGGCGCTTCTCCTCCAAGAACGAGTGTCTGTAGGCATGGAACTTCCGCTGGAGCAATAGTCCGAGCCATGGAAGGAGTCAGCATGGCGATATTAACCCTCATATCTGTCATGGCGCCCGCCAGCTTGTTCATCCGCTGGTCTTCAGAGGGAATACAGACGCAGCCCCCTGCAGCGAGCATGAACATCACCTCAGCCAGACAAATGTCAAAAGCGGGCGATGCGAACAGCAAGCCTCGGGAGGTGTTTGACACGGAAATGACGTCCTTGTGCCCATGCACTACTGAATAGACCATGCCATGCTCAATCACAACACCTTTGGGGGTACCTGTTGACCCAGATGTAAAGGCAACATACATTGGATCCTGCGGTGTCACCGAGGATGGGCTCCAAGAACAGTAATCAGCGAGGACGATATCCGACGTAAGAGTCACGGTACTGTCCACAATTTTCCTGCATTTGTCTTGAAGCGCCGGGGAGCAGATTACCACTCGTGCATCAGCATCCTGAACGATTTGCTGCAATCGGGGGATCGGAAAATTGGGCTCCAACAAGACCATAGCGGCGCCAGACATGAGCACGCCCAATATCGCGACAGGAAACCACTTGGACCGCTCCATGCAGATCCCAATGACCGTTCCTTGACACCACCCGCGAGACTGGAGATGACCCGCAACCCCACGCGACAAGGAGAGGAGTTCATGATACTTGAGCGAGCCATCCCATGCACATACGGCTTCTGCATCGGGCTGTGTAAGGCAGAAGTCCATAATGACCTCATGCATGCACCTTAGACGTTCTGGGTTGTCCTTCCGATTCCATACCGCCAACTGGTGCCAATCTGGAGGATTCTGGGTCATCAGTTGCCCCATCTGTGCCCCGGGATCGCGGAGGATATGTTGTAGGGCTGTTGCGAATTGGTCCAACAGCATTTGCACCCGGTTCGTATCCAGGACGGTGCTATCAAAGAAAACCTTGATCTCAAGCGATTCGGCTCGCTGTTGAGCCACGATGGACAAAGGATACGAGGCAAACAGCAGTTCCTGGTGCTCATTCTCGGGGAGATCGGTCAGTATGGCAGAAGGGCTCTGCACCGAACTTAGTCGGATTGTCAGGAGATTCTGGAAGCGACAGGCCAAGGCGGCCTCCGGGCTAGCTTCGCTGATGCGTGCGAGACCAGTTTGTTCGAACGGTATGATGGCGACGTCGTGCTCGCGTAGCCTTAACAACATATCTTCAACGGATGAATGTGGATCAAGCTGCGTGCGGAAGGGGAACGTGGCAATCGTCGGCCCAGCAATACAGTCAATGCCCGGAACTGGAGCATTCCGGCCTGATACCGTCAATCCATAGACGACATCGTTCGAACCGGTCTGGGCGGAGACGACCAGGGCCCAGGCCAGTTTGATCTTATTGGCGAGTGTCCAGTCTTTATCTGCAGTGGCAAGGGGAATCCGGTGGCTCCTAGACGATGGTCGCGGTGAGACTACCGATGATCGATTGCAAGAGTCCGGGAAGACCGCGGCTCGGAGGCCGGTGAATTCCTGTGACCAGAACCGATAGGCTGCAGACATGTCCAGCCTTGAGATATAGTCGATCACTTGGTTGAATGATGGCCGTGACGGGAGCGCGTGGCCTTCATAATTTTTCTGCAAATCGTCGAGCACCTGTATGAAGGACCACCCGTCGAAAACGGCATGATGCATTGTTAGGGAGAAGACGGCTGGCTTATTGCCTCGCGCATGACGCACTTCCCAGCGGGTGAGAGGCCGCCCCAATGCCATGGTCTCAGCATTATCCGTGGCGTAGGAGCTGGTGCTCAAGTCTTTGGCTTTGATGACTACTTGAAGCAGTTGACCGTCCTGGAGCTGCACAACGCACGTTCGTAGCATGGGATGTGCGAGATAAGTCCGCTTCCATGCCTCCTGGAAGCGATCCAAGTTCACTGAAGGTGTGAAGGAGAATCGGTATGTGCTCACAAACGACCCGGGGTTTTTGATGGACAGATACACGAGGCCTGCTTGCAACGGTGTGCAGGCATACATATCCTCAATCATGTCTCTTTCGACACGGCACTGGGCCGCTGCAGTGGATAGGCTCTGTTCCACATCCTCGAGGAGGGCGAATGGCGCGATCGTGTGCACATCCCTATTCGCTACGGCACATCCGGCAATCTGTTGAACTGTCTGAAGACGGATTACATCGGCTACTGTGATCTCCAGACCTCTATCCCGGGCTCGCGCCACCAGCTCGATGGCGGCCAAGGAATTTCCTCCCAGATCGTAGAAGCCATCGTGAGCGCTGACATCTTTTTCGGGACACACCAACACCTCGGCAAAGAGAGCGCGAATACTTTCTTCTTTGTGGAGCAGTCCAGGATCCTTGTCGTTTCCTCGATCTCGTTCGGTCTCTCCGCGAGCCCTGGTTCCTCCGAACTGAGCTGCTAGATTTACCAGTGCCAGTCTGTCCAGTTTGCCTGTTCTTGTAAGGGGGAAGCGCTTCACTGGAATGTACTTGGTCGGTACCATAAAAGCAGGTAGCCACTCACGGAGCCAATCTTGGAGACTGTCCGACAAAGCACAGAAGGCGTCGTCCATGGGAGCCAAGAGAGCCTCGTTTTGGTCTGCATCTGCCTCTGCGGTGGTCACAAACAGTGCAAGCAGTTTTCTCCCATTGGTGTTACTGGGGTTTATGACGTCGGCCACCGCATCGATTCGCTCTTGGAATCGGCGGGCATGATGCTCGATCTCTTGCAGATCGACACGCTGACCGTGAATCTTAACCTGGGTGTCTTTCCGACCTATATACCGCAGCGTGCCGTCGTCGACGTTGTACCGGAACAGATCACCCGTCTTGTAGAACCGTTCTTCAGCAGGTATAGCGAATTCTGTCGCCCACCTGGGGCTGGATACAAAAGATTTCTGCTGGGGCTGGTTGAGATAGCCTCGGCCGACAATCGGTCCGCTGATGAGGAGCTCGCCCACGGCTCCCAGGGGTTCAAGCTGATGATGGTCCTGCCGATTGACAATCCAGCATCGACTGCTATGAGATCGACCGACGTTGTACGGGTCCTGTAATCGGACATCGGGCTGTACGCTGGTCACGACGCTGCACTCAGCCGGACCGTACGCATTGATCAACTGGACTTTGCCCGTCCACTGTACGATCTGGTCCTGCGCCATGGGCTCGCCGACAAGCAGGAGGGATCGGACGTTGGGGATCTGCTCGGGCTTGATGAGTCGTGCGACGGACGGGGTCAGCTCCACCCAATTGGCTCTCAAGTCGTTAATGGCTGCGGCGAGGCCATTCAGTCGCTGTTTCTCTGACGGAATACACACACAACCGCCTGCTATCAGGGTCATGAGCATTTCGAGGATGCTGCTGTCGAATCCGTAGGATGCAAACTGGAATGCTCTAGTTTTATTATCAAGATTCTGAACTTTGTTCTGGGCAAGCGCATTGGCGCAGAAAGACTGATGTTCAATCACTATTCCCTTCGGCTTGCCCGTGGAGCCAGATGTGAAGGCAACATAGGCCGCATTGGCAGGGGTGACCTTTGACTTAAGAGATGAATTGCAAGGAAAATATGACATTTTGCTCAGCGTGTCCGGAAGCGCGATGGCTTTTGGGGCAAAATTCGCGGCCATTTCCCGCAGTGGGTCCGAGGTGATCACGACGTCTGCCTGCACCTGGGAGCAGATTTCTTCCAGGCGCGGGATGGGATATGAAGGGTCCAGGAGGACGAAGGCGCCTCCTGCTCTCAGCACGCCGAGGATGGCAACCACCGTCCATAGCGACTTTTCAAAGCAGATCGGGACCTTTGACTCGGGACCCACGCCAAGGGACTGCAGCTGGAGTCCGACAGCCAGCGACAGTCCGTCTAGTTTGGCATATGTGAGAGTACCGTCCCAGGCACAGAGCGCCTCAGCGTCGGGCTGGCTACGGCAACGATCCTGGATCAAACTATGTATGCAAACTTGGGGTTGTACGGGCCTAACATTCCACTGTCGAAGTAGACCGGTGCTATATGCACCCAGAAAGTCCACATCCCTGAAAGTCAGTTCAGGGCTCGCGATCATTTGCTCGAGTATATGGACTAAGGAGCATAGCTGCGTTCGGGCTTGATTGATGCTAATGGATGTACTCAAGTAGTCCAAGGACACTTTTGGACGCGATGAGCCACAATCCAGAGTGATGACCAGCTCACAAGCATGCAATGAAAACAACTCGGCATCGTCAGTACGTTTCTAAATGCAGACATTGGGGCGAGACCACCTACAGCCGAGTGTGCATCACCGAGGCCATCGTGCGACTTGATAACCACCGCAGTTGTGGCATCAGACCTCCTGTTCCCTGCTGTTTCAAGCCAAGGTTTCCTCTGCTGTAGCTTGGCCGTGTCCACTAAAAGTGTGTCTGGATTGTCTGATATCTGCCAGGTCTCTACGTGAGGTGATACGATGCAAGCTGATTCTAGGCATCGACTGTCCACAGGAGCCTTTGGGGTTTCCACCACTGCAAAGCTCAGAGTTTGGTTCTCTGAGAGTCTGGAGAGCAACAAAGCCCATGAGGCCTTGAGCGAATGTGCTCGGAAAGAGTTGTCATGTTTAGCCCGCCCCGTGGCTAGCTTTTCGTCAAGACGCGCAGTGATTGTTTGGAAAGCGCTGTAAGAAGCCATGACAATGATGAAGGATGAAGGATGTTGTCGACAAAACAAGATTTTCCACCATACAGGTTACTTCATGATATAGCCTAGCAGCTATAGACATTGACGAGGTTGTCATGGGCAGTATGACTTCGCTCCATACACGTGCTACTGTCCAGAATGGGATGAATTCTCGAACCATCCCCAAGGGGTCACGACTTCATTGTTCAAGCAACGGCCTAGATTGGATGCCGTGCGACACGGACTAAACATGATCCGCAGTCAACCAGGACGAATTCAATCAGCACATTCTTGATTTCAGATCAACATAGGGGCATGGATACACTTCTCATGATGCGAGAGTTTGCCTTGAAACGGGGACAGTGACACAAGAGATCGGTGGAACAGGCAAGATGCATCGGTCTTCAAGGGCAAGGCACTGAGGGGACTGCGAACCAAGGGCTGCCTTGCAAAATTGGAAGTGAAACACCGAAGCGGTGTAGCACATTCCTCATGCCTTCTTTGCTCCAAGCACCTTGTGTTCTGAACAGGTCATGCGTAATATGTAGTCGCACGTATGCCCTTGAGCATCCCTTGCAGGTCAATCGCGGGGCGTCTGACATCAAGGATCAAAGGAATGTGTGGACAGAATTGGACTGAGAGACGAAACCGAGCAGGAGTATCGGTCAGCTCATGAAACCCCAAACCAGTCCGCCGGGGCATCCCAGGGGGTCAGGAAAGGGAAGCCTTTTGAGTGCCGGATCATATCACCTATTGCACCTTCCCAAGTCATGATCAAGTACATGCCGGGCGGGATGCCTCTTCTATTGCAGTTGGCAGTTCTGTCGATTGTAGCCTTCGTCGGGTACGCTTTTCGGCCAAATTCGTGGTCAAATCGGGTGGTGTCTTATGTGATTAATGTGAGTGATGCAGAAGGATTGCTAAGAGGAAGGAGACTAGTAATACTGACAATATTCACATATAGAAAATCTTGCTTTGGTGGTATCCTATCTACTCCATCGATGGCAGATCGTCTATTCCAACCTGTCCATACCGATTCCCTGATGGTGGAGGGAAAATCAAATTTCTCGAGGGCGAAACCATCTCTCGCAAGTGGGCCAAGCAATACGGCCCCATTTATCGGATATGGGTCGGTCTGACACCGGAGATGTAAGACCCTAGCGAGCTCTCCAAGGATTATATTACTGGGTTAACGAACGGCAGTATCGTGACTCGCCCAGAAGATATCAAGACCGCGTTCAAAGACTCCGGGAACCATCGCAAAGCTCCTAATCTCAACGGCGGGTGGGTCATGGGAGAGTTAGTCGGTGATGGAGTCGGTCTAATCAGTCAAGCGGACTGGAAACGCGTTCACGCGGTGGTTTCGCCTCCGTTTGCGCAGCGGCCCATCACATACGTCCCGCTGGTCCAGTCACGGATAGACCGTCATTTTGCGGAGCTGAGCCAGAGACACAGCCAGGACAGAAGGACCATGAGACTCAGGCCAGCTGAAGATCTGAAGCTGCTGCCCTTCTGGGTCATCAGTGATCTCCTATACGGGGAGCTTCCGCAGCCGATGGTGGAGGAGCTGTTGCGCATCACCGAGTTGCGCACCGACGTCTTCCAGTATGCCTTCAAAGGAGGGTTATCACTCTTTTCAATCAGCAGGTGGTTCTCACCAGCGCTCCGAAACAAGCTGCACTTCTTCCATACCCGCTGGGCCGAGTTCAACCGCCAAGCGTACCACCGCGCGAAAGCCAGCGACGCAGCCGCTGCCTGCGCCATCGTCCCGCTATCCACAGCCGTAGAAGAGGGCCGGATCTCCCGCACCGAACTGCTGCACACGCTGGACGAGGCCCTCTTCGCCAACATCGACGTCACCATCGGCAGCTTCTCCTGGATCCCACCGTTCCTCGCCGCGCACGCAGACGTACAGCGCGAGCTCCGGGACGAGATCAAGCAGGCCCGTTCCCAAGCAACAGCAACGCCAACCCAGGACGCCTGGGTCAAGTACCTCGCCAGCAACACCACCCTCCTCGCCAGCTGCATCAACGAATCCGCGCGCCTGAAGCCCGTGACCAACTACACGTACGCGCAGTCCCTCCCCACGGGCCGCGAGGTAGGCGGGTACCTGATCCCCGTGGGGACATATGTGGTGGTTGACACCAACGCGCTGAATCTCCGGGATCCGGGCTGGGGGTCTGACAGAGGAGAGTTCCGGCCCCGGCGATTCCTCGAGAAGCCGCGCGGGGAGTTTCGGTATCGGCTGTGGCGATTCGGGTTTGGGCCTCGTCAGTGTATTGCGCAGGCGTTGGCGGATACCGTTCTCAAGGTGTTGGTGGCGTATATGGTGGAGAATTACCAGGTGAAGGTGCCTGAGAAACCTACGGGGGGGGAGTCTGAGGAACGAAAGCGAGGAGACGCCTGGTTCAAGGTTGCAGAGCAGCAGATTCTTCTTGAGCCGCTGTGATTGCTTCTATTTTTCGGACAGCTTAGCGCTATTCAATCATTTATGACGAAACGACGGGAATGCATATTGATGTTATCTGAGATACAATAGCACTATGAATATGTAGCCGTTCTTCGAATCCTCCAGCCATACACATCAAGCTGGCTAGCTCTCGCTTCGCTCACTGTCTTCTGTCTTAGACGATCAAGGTGTGATATTTACATCTACTGCTCAAGATAGAAATATATACGGGGTAATAGGTGAGGGAAACAGCAGATGCTGCTAAAGGCGGTGGCTTAGGACGTGTGTACATTGTGGCTGAAAGCCTCAGAAAGGTGGCATATATTAGAGGCCTGAAGGAAGACGCATAGAGGCTAAACTCAAAGAGAGAATTCTGCGTTGATTATTCAGCACAGCAAAACCAACTATTATTAAGCAACTATTCGGCCAAGCTGGGTGATGAGTGTAGATGTATTCTGAACTTCCAGGAGGCAGGTTGCAGGGGTTATGGGATAGTTTACGAGTACTTTGAATATGATGAAGATCGCAGGCCCCATCATTTGCATCGCTTCTAGGGGTGGTAGGGGTCCAGCAGCCGAGAAACAGGAAGGCACTAATAAGCAATAAATAACGATATGCCAGGACAGGAACGCGTCATTCAGTCCAGTGCATCTACTAGTGGTAGTACATGGTCAGGTACGGCCCTTTCTCCTCGGTGTACGAGATAGACAACCATGCCTGGCGGTCTGTGGCAATAGCCAAGTCCTCGCCAGGGCTATTCCAGAGTTAGAGAAGATTGCAAAGGAAAAGAGATTAGGGGGCCTCACTAATATGATTGCAGATTCTCCGGGTAGACCCTAGCCAGGTCATGCATGCCATGACGCTCGAAGAAGGCTGCCAGCACATTCGCGATCTTGAGCTCGGGGATGCCGATGAGGGGGAAGTAGAATTTAGGCTTGGGCAGAGGCTGCCCCGGGGTTATCTCGTAGTTCATAAAGAACGGCACAATGCTCAGAGGGTCACCGGGGAGCGATGGCCGCTGGGGTTCAGCCCGCTTGCCGTCGACGATTTCAAGGTCGACCCATAGCTCGCGGATCATCTGCAGACCACGCATCGTCTCCTTGTCGGTGAGCGTTCCTCCGAGCGTCCAGTGCTCCTCGAGCTTGGCGAGCGTCACCTCCAATTCCATCAGGTACAGTTTGAAGCGCGTCGTGCCGGGCTCGACCAGGTCTACAGACAGGAAGTGGATGTCTGTCTGGGTCTGCCGCTGCATGTGGGCTTCGATCGCTTTACATGGCGCCGCGAGTCGGCCCTGCACGTCCACCTTGCGGATAGCAGAAAAGCACAGCTCCGCGACGGAGTGGCCCGTCGCCGCGGCTTTGAGTGCCGGATAGAAGTACTCCTTCACCGTGATGCCCGTCTTGTTCAGGTCCAGGGCAAGCAGAATTTGGCTCTTCCAGTTCGTCTTGGCAAGCTCCGCGGTCAGGAGCTGCTCATTTCGGTCCGTCAGCGTCAGGTCGGCGGCGAGCGCGTGATGCAGCTCCAGGTCGACGGTGGCCGAGCCGGTCATTCGCAGTTCGGCCAGGGTGGCGTGGACGGCGTGGCGGTTGAATGGGTCGGCACTCGTGCTGGCGAGATAACTCGTGGGCTCGAAGGCGAGCCGAGCCGTTGAGCCGAGTCTCTGGAAGTTCTGACTGAGCTCGAAGGGACCACCAATGTTGCCGAGGAGACACCTGTAGATGTCTCTCCCGGGGCTGGGGAAGGGCCCCAGCTTGGGGATGATCAAGTGAGCAAAGAGCGACAGGTACTCGTATTGGCGGTGGATGCTGTATTCCCCATCCACCAGCATCTTGCCAAGCACCGGGCCAATTTGATGCCAGTATTGATACTGATCCAGATTGGCGAATATCATTGACCTGCTCAGTGTGCGATATGGGATGTCATGTCCCATTTCAGCACAGGGCGCAGAGGCCTCAACGGCGGTCGACGACACTGTCATTCTGGCTGTCTAGAGCCTGTATGTGGAAGTCAAAATAGGCCAAATACGAGTCTAGGATGAGGTTTATCAGACGAGATACATGCACGCCATTATAAGTATCCATCCTCCTCTTAAGGTGACGCATAAGATGCTCTTCAAGCGGTGGATTGTACTGTCCACCTGCGACTCGCCTGTCAAAGAGCGTTACACTCTTGCTCAGAGGTATTCTGCCGCAAGGGATAAGGGAACCACCACAATGCAGAGTTCCAGACAGACAGGGAAAGGAGGGGCAGAGCAACGAGACTTGGAATGTGGAGATTTGCCCCACTGAAGCATTTCTCAGAGACATGGCGTGGACTGTCACACAGAATCCCCATTCACCAGTATCCAGCGGCCAGGAAAGCGAAATCAGATGTGGAAAGGATAGAAAGAAGACAACAACCCCAGAGTAGCTGGGGAGAAGGCAGGAAGCCGTAGTCACGAGACTGGCCTGAGCATCCGTTCAACCAGAGCATGGAGTCATCACGTTCAAACAAGATATCAGGTTAAAGGCATGCAGATCATTGATGCCTCTATTGTCCAGGAATGAGGGAGCACTCAACTGATCAAGAGAGTCGACTGCTCTCGTCTCAAGCCCTGATAGAACAACATGAGGCATAAGGAAGATATGAGGGATCAAATCAAGCTACAGGTCACAAATCAGATCACTACACAGCTCAAACAAATCTTAGTCTTAGCAAGTTGCTCATCTATTGGGTGATTGTCTATCTAATGCATGTAGCTATTCGTATCATTGTACCTTCCGTTGGGTATCCTCGTCACGGTTCGTGCCTCTCATAAAAACCAAAACTCCACGCTATGTATGAAAAAGACAAAGGAGAGACAGTATTTGTCGAGGGAAAAAAGCAAACAAACAGATTCTAAATTTCATATCCACCCATATGCATAGTTCATGCATGGCTGATTTTCCAGACCGAATTGCTGAGTGACTACCCCGCCAACTTGGTCTAGTCTGCCATCGTCCTCGAAAAAGAATGACTTGTTAAGCATACTCTGTGCTGATTTCACAGGTTGCGCATGTGTCTGAGGCCCCAGTTGCGGTTGACAAAGATCGGCACTGTTGCTGCCTTGCTTCTCTGCGGTCTCTTGCGAATCATCATCCTCTCCGTCAGCGTCCTGATTTTCTGTCTCGTCGTCCGGTGATGGCGTAAAAGTCTCCTCCAGCTTCAAGCCCTTGCCACTTAATCCGGTCAACGACGCATTCAACGACGCGTCAGGACGACTGTACAGACCCATCCCGACAAGCTCGTCCTCCGGCTTCTCCTCAACCGCCTCCGGCTTATCAAACTGCTGAATAGGGAGAAATGGAGTTGGAGGTCCAGAAGACGGCGCGCTCTCGTAATTCGACCCCGCAACATCCGCCCCAGGAATACTGCTGTTCATGGACATCATATCGAAGGACCAGCCTTCAGACATGGGCGGAGCCATCGCGGATAAGCTAGACGCACTGGCGTCCCAAGTGACTGGCTCGGCCTGCGAGCCGTTCATTTGCAGGAGGTACTGTTGCTGCATGATTGTCGGATCTTCCATGCCGGACAAAGAGGAAAACATCGCAGCATCTGAGGCGGGATAGACAGGTAGAATGTCCTCGCCCGCGTAGGTAACAGGAAGCGTGTTGGATGACGAAGCGCATAAGCCTGTGCCAGCAAGGTTTCCAGACATAGTTGTGGCCGGTAAGTACTGAGAGGTGGAGTATCCTGTTGATCGCAGAGATGCCGGGTGCCAACTCATTGGTCGCGGTTGGCGTGTTCTGCGCATGGCGGAAGCGGCGAGAGCAGCTTGGATCTGAGCCTGATAAGACTGCTGCGGCAGTTGCCGGTACATTGGCGAAGTGTGCGACGTGGTGGCCCTTCGCTTGGCAGCAGAGGAAGGACTGTTTCCAGCACTCCGGGGTTTCATCACCCGACTAGTGTGCTTTGGTCTGGGGAAAGCGTACATCAAGTCGCGAAACGTCGATGTACGGAAACATGGCTGGTTTTCTGGGTAAATCCAGTAGGGGCCTGCTACAGAGGCTTGTGGTTGCCAGCAGTCGGCCATTGGTAGAGATGTTGTGAGTATCAATCAGACCAGGAGTGGTTGTGATAGTTGTTGGCTGGAAAGAGGATAGAGGTGTCGGTGATAATGGCGAAAGAGGAACAAGGTATGGAGAGCGTAGGTTATATGACAGATGGAGGTGGATTGAAATCCATGGATGACTGCAGCAAGATGCACAATAATAAGGTCAGAGATCGAGACTCATCATATAAAGATGACACAAGGGGTCACAGGGCGCTCATGGCAAGGTACCAAGCGAGTAGTCATGCAGAAGGAGGTAGTAGTAAAGTAGTTAAAGTAGTCCAAAGATCTTCATTGTCTCCATAGCATCAAATTACTTTCCCTTCTTAGAAAAATAATTATTTATTAATATGAAATAAATAGAAAAATAATAAATTCTTTTTTATTTTATGTGATGAATATGGGGTCACTTGTTACTCGTGGCATTAACTTACATGTCCGATCTACCGTCCGCCCCAGCTCCACGATCCAAAGGTTGGGACTCCATAGCTGACAATCTATTGGCGGACACATGTTCAATAGTGAGATGACACAACGTTGACACTAACAAAATAGGTGACTTGGTCCGCGTCTCACAGGGGGGAATAATGGAACAAGCAAGTCGGCTAAGGAACGGAGGAGGCAGGCTGGTCTGGTAGGGATGGAACTGGAAGGATGTGATGATTCAGGCCGTGCCTCAGCTCAGCGGCTCCACTGCCTTTCCATGGTCCATGTCCATAGTAAGTATGCATTCGTTCTCTACCTCTACTACTCGTGTAGAATTCTTATTTTTCTCTTCTCTAGCCTCCACCGCCCTTTTCAGAAGGGCCGGCTTGATTTCTAGACCCTCAGGATGTGCTGGACGGTTGGACCCATGGACCGGCCAAGGTAGTGGTGGTAACCATGGTGCCGCCATGTTGGTGGGGACGGAAATGCTCAATACCTTACCACTGGCGGGGATGATCAGACCCATGAAAAGGTTTACAAGGAGTTGGGTTTTCATTGGACGGGATTTCAAGGAGAAAATAAAATGGAACCTTACGCTTAGACAGCGAAGAAACCAGGAAGACAGAGTGTCTGGACACACTGAAACCAGGTTAGTAGTCCACTGTACTCCGTAGTACTTCGTAGAACAACTCAGTTCAAGGCCCGTGTGTGACTAAGTGACTGCTATGTACGGATAAGCGGCTAGATAACCCAGAAAAGCTACCTCCTTTGTGATCGGATCGATGGTTACGTTACACATGCATCAAGTCAGCCTTTATTATTTGAATAGGATATAAAAGTAGGTATCAATGATGGACATGGAGATCGTTGCCCAAATCTCAATATAGATGCGGCTATACATGAAGCTAGGGCTCATGCTCTGTATTATCATCATCAGTAGTGACTACTTACGGGCCTACGGAACACTGCTGATATGATCAACAAGCCAACATTCATTATGAACTGTATCCGTACATACGTTTTAGGGATGGAGTTATGTAACTATTCGAAGGGATCATAACTAAGATGTTTGGCAGCGACATCTGAATTAGTGGATTTCCGTATTTTATTTTTCTTTTTCTTTTTCTTTTCTTTTCTTTTTTACTTTTCTTTTCGCCCGAAAATTGGGCCTATTAATAAGTGGCTGCGATGCTGCGGAGAGAGACACGCCCGGTTTAGTTTAGCAAGTTCGACTTAAAGGGTCCCTCTTTTTCTGGAATGTTGTCTCTCAGTGTTTGAAGCCACACTAGCAAATCTCGACCTATCATCGCTGGCGCCCGCTGCTGTGCGGTTACGGCGTTCGGCATTCAATATCTCTTGGACTTGGAGGCTGGTCCACATACTAAAATAATGTTTCTTCCTTTGCTGAGTCTGGCCCTAACCTCTGTCCTTCATCGTTATTACTCCGTAAAGTCCGTATTATGTATCAGGGTGCACATACTCCGTAAGGTACCTCTCAAGTGCCTCCCCGCAAGTTCATTCCTTCAAAATGCGTCACATCTTGCTATGCTCAATACCTCTTACGCAAGGGTTACAATTGCATCGTCGCTCCAAGCTAACGAGGTCACTCTGCAAGGCATATTTATATGTGGTCTATGATATCCAGTGTTGCCCATTGCCGTGTTGCCTGTGCTACACCCTTGTATCACTATAAATAAGGCATTCTTCGGCCTCACCGGGGAACTCTCTGAAGTTGTGATCCGCTATCTCGTTTTGAAACCAACCGCTTGGGGAGAGTTCATCCACTATCGTCATAGGCTTGAGTTTACGTTTCTAGTGCTGCGGTGGATAAGGTTGGACACTTGGACTCATAGATTAATCATGAACGGCTAGACTTCGTAACTTCGTAATCTCGTAATCGGGGGGACGCCAAGCACTCTATACCAAGCCTTCGGCCGTCCGATTAGGCGCAGGATTTCGGAGAGACTAAGGTAAGATCAGAGAGTCATGTGGATGGTGAGATTTTATCTTTATCCTTGTCACGCCCTTGCTACTATTCTATGTGGCTTGCTAGCCTAGGACAAGGGTGTAAGACATTTAGTATTATTATTGACAAGAAAAAAAAAAAACAGGGAAACAAACATTGATTATTTATGTGACACTGGTTGTGATCAGCATTAGCATACGACTTTCAGCATCAATAATATCATCTAATGCACTCCCACCACCAGCAAATATCCAATATTACCTGTTAGAGAAAACAGAATACTGCAGGGTATCGATGTATCATGTACGAGTCCACTATTTTGTTTCTAGGTTTGACGAAAAGCCAAGGACGAAATATGCTCGACAATTTAAAGTGGGGTACTATTCATTTATCAACTGACACTTCGGCTAGGAGTTGAGTCGCGTCTCAGGATTGAGTATCAATTACTATCGTGTCTTTCAACTCCATAGTGGCTCCGTAGTGACGAGGCGACGGCCAACGCAGCCTCAAAGAA